GAGACCAGACCCGCGTATCCAATCTCGTGAGGGGGCCGGTGAGCCTGCCCTGCCCTCCTGCACCACGCCTCGAGCACAGTCAGCCTCTGGCACTGGCTGCAGAAAGCGCCGGCCGCGCGCGAGAGGGTGTTAGCAGCGCGGCAGTCTTTTCGGCTTGTGCAGAATGTCGTCACGGTACCGCCCTCTTGCGGCGGCTCACCGTCGATCGCTTCCTGATTGCGAACTGCTTGCGGCAACACGGACGGTGTGCGCCAACCACCGAGAACAATTGGGCGTCATCACAGGACGCAGGAAGCTCCGACGACACGTCTCTTTGGGCCGGGCTATTGCCACATATCAAGGCTGACTACATGACACAATCAGCTTCGTGTCCAGGCCAAGTGCTTCCGGCACACAGGCACCGCACGACCCCCACAGCCCGTAGCTTGAGTCTCCACTGAGCATCCCAGGTCGGTGCCCTCAGGGTATCATCGCTCTTCCTACTCCTCGTTGGGGAAGCGACGGCGCTCGTGCACGATCCCAAACAGTGGGCGATACGGCAGCTTCAGCATCTTGGCATGGCGGTCATTCCATCGCCGCTTACATACATGAGTCTGCGCTCACAGTCGCTGCAGTGATCTGCGCTGCACCTGATGCGAAATGGAATCAAGGAAAACAACGTTAATCCCAAGGTTGTTGGCTGGCCTCTCTGCTAGATGGGGCAAAGCCAGGCGAGAAGGACAAGCGCCATCCCTCAACGATCCGGTTCGCCTGCTGGCCGCCAGGTATTTCAACACTTTCCCAGAAAAAGGATGCCGGTCGGTATAATGCATCCCGCGCCGGTCCTGCTATGCCAATGGCTTTAGACGCTTCTTCATCGAACGCGATGCAGAGCCGGCCGCTGCGTTACGTTTGAGGCAAGTCGTCGAGCACTAGGTGTCGTCGGTACCAGCAGCGATGGTGGAGGAATGGCCCTGGGCAGCAAGTGCTCAGGGAACGCCCTCCCCTGGTACAAGACATCTTTTCGGCCCCCTTACACGCGGGCAAGCGCGGGCCACATTGACCCGAGCAACAGGTTGAGGGCGGTCAGTGTCCCAGCGTTGGCGCTGGGCGACAAGTCTTGCCGATCAGACTCTACGTCAGCTGGCTATCCATCGCGCGTTGTCGGCGCATTGAATTGGCGAGCTCTTGCCGCAGGTGGAACACCCCGCAGCGTTGCATGCTGAGGAGATCGAACTTTGCGGGACGAAGGAAGATCAGCGCACGCCTACTACTTATCGAGTCGTGGGAGATGACCGGCTACCAAGATGGGTATACAGAGGAATTACTCAACGCGCCAAATCTCGTTGATTTTGCAATTTTGGCGGGCACGTTCCCGTCCCACGGAGAGCAAAGCTATGAGGCACTTATCAAGACTCGCGGCTTCCGGCCAAACTCGCGTCGCCGAATCGCCCTCGCGATTACCACGCGGCGCGCTCCCCTGGGCCCTTGTTGGTGACCGATGGTGGCTGTCGGACTCAACCTTACGCCTGAGTGGTGCCACCACACCCACAGCCAGCCCTGGCCTGTCTTTTACCACGTGCAAGGCGAACTTCAGATGCGCCGACAAGGGTACGAGTGGCTGAATCCATCATGAATCGAAGGATGGGTGGCAGAGACGAACGAGTGCCCCAGTGCAAGCCCAGTGGTCCTGTCGGGGCCACTCCCACCGCACCTGCAGCCATGGTGTTGATGGTCCATGGATGCCTCCGAGCCGGCGCAGATGTCTCAGGCCCCGGATCATGGCGGGCAGGGCGTGTAAGTGTTAGTGGTGCATGCTCGTTTTAGCAACATCACTGCGCCCACGCCGCCACCCCCATCTCCAAGCCGAACCAGGGGTCCCCTCGACATTCAATCTCCAGCACGCCCCTCCCTTTGCTCGGAACCCTGGGCCTGGACGGGTAGATCCTAGCGGGCTGATTGGCTTGTCGGCACCTGGCTCAGAGCCAACGACGCGAGTCCCGGGCAATTATGCCGAATCCCAGCACGCCCTGCTTCCAGTCTCCCGCCCAGAGGTGTTGTGAGAGATATGAAGATTTGGACCCCAAGACCTTTGCAGCTTGGTGCCGTTGGTCTCGGCGACGCAAACCGCACTGTGCAGCCGCGTTGTGCTTGGCAGCTCGGCCGGGTGTGCTCGCTGGCGCCCTGCCGGTCCGAAGGTCGCACTGCCTGTGCCTTGCGGTCGTGTATCGCTGGCAAGTCTTGCTCAGAGAGGTGAGTTTCAGTGTGACACCTCGTCAGAGCCGATTCGGACATGGGCAAAAGTGATGCCGACTTGACTGCTCAGCAGGCATGGACGAACCATGGGCACAATTAGACGGCACCAGGCGTCTCTCTCGCACTGCTGTCCCCGATTGCTATCGAGTTTCCCCTCTTTCGCCGTCTCCAGGCTCTTCCTCTCTCGCGAATGAGGCGAGGGGCGGGTGCTTGAGCGCACTGGAGGCACAACTTCCCCTCTCTACCGTTGATGGCGTCACCTCGCGCTGTCTGGTGGGATCCCGAGCCCGGCGCAGGATTGCGACAGCACGACCCTGCAGCGCCTCCGCAGGCGGCAGGGACCCTGTGGTTCTCTCTCTGTCGCCCAAGGTGTTGCTCACGTTATTTCCTCATTCAGTCGCGCGCCTTCTCGCGCCCATGGTAGCCATGTGATGGCGGCGCGGCGTGAGGCAAGGCGAAGCATATGGATGGCGGGGACGCGGCTGGTCGATCCACACCGGCTTCCTTCGCCTCGTTCCATCAATCATCGCGCTGCGCCGGGCAGCTGCGGTAGTTGTTAGTCGCATTTGGCACCTGCTCCCTTCCCGCCGCTGCCTTCTCGTCCTCGTCATTTCCCTAATGCTCCTGCTGCTGCTGCTGCTGCCGCCGCCGCCGCCGCCTCCCCCTCTGGCGCCGGTCCAGTCGAATCAAAGGGTCGCATCCGACCCTGTGTCCTCTCCATCCCTGGCCCGCAGCTGTTCGCCACCTAGAGCCCCTCCCCCAGCTCGAAGGATGCCTCGTCGCGGAGGCGACATATTTCACATCTTTCAGGAGGCGTCCACTGGCAAGGTTCCTTGCGCTTGTACCTGTTGGATCGTCGGTGTCGTCAATTGAACAGCGTACGCCGCAGCCGCCAGGGTGGCTCTGCGTCTTGTCAGCCACCGGGGCGCTACTCTTCACCCACGTTGCCGCAGCCGGTGCCTCGAGCGGTGCAACGATAGCCGGGCGGGATCCAGCTCGCCCCGCGACTGCCTCACAGCCCATCTGGCAGATCTCTGGGCGTGGCGGATTGGCGGCGACAGGCTTTCGTCAAACGGCCCACCACCACCGGGCACCGTTCCCGCCAGCAAGCCACCCGGAGTGCACATCACATCGCGGCACGGGCTGTTTGACTAAGGCATCCTGTCGATCTTCCTTTCACTCTGACTGTTTCATGGACAGAGGCGTTGGAGGGACGATTGATTGCATGCGGTTGCGGTGGCCAACTGATGAGGCCCCCAACCATGACGTTGGACGGGGCTGTCCTTCACGACTCGCTGCGCCCGGTGATCGTCGTCTATCGTGACTCGTTTTCTATATCTGTACCCAAGTGGTATTCTACTTTTCAATACGGAATATTATGTGCATGCTTCCAATGTGGAGATGCGGAGCTCCGTCGCAGAGATCCATAGCTCAGCCTCCAAAGCAGACGCAGCGCGACAAGCAATGCACGAAAGAGGGCAGGCGCAGATCGCGAAGATCGTGCCTGCAATGGGCACAGGCAACGCGGGAATAGAGGCAATGAGGAAAAAGAAACGATTGACCAGATGATCTACAGTTTCGTTGATTGAAAATAGCCACGTCTAGTACCGCCCGCCAGTCGGGAGGGAGATCGAAAAAGCTCGGGGAAGCACACCCAGGCCCGCCCCCGCCCTGCCCCATCAAACAATGCATCGAGTAATCGTACCCCGTATACCGCCGTTTTATTCCCAAAAAGACTGCGTAGAAATGACAAGAAATGCTAATTCGCTTGCCGGCCAGGCATAGCGACTCTATCCACAAGACACGGCTGGTGAAGCCAACGAAAGGAGAAAGGGGAGGTGGCGAATGAGGGTGGCCCGTCGCTTGGGCACGGCTGAAGGATTCCCCCTCATCCCGATGCAGAGGACCAGAGAGGTCCCGACAAGGTTTGAAGGAACAATCCAAGTGATTGAGATCCTGCAGATACGACCCTGGCCGCAGAGGTGGCGGGACATGACGGCCACAGCGGCTCGCCCGGCAACCGCTGGTCGACTGTGCCGCGAGTCCGCCGTCAGCCAGGACCACAGTGCCCATCCCAGCCTCCCCGTACGGAGTCGGGTCCGGGTACCCCCTCCACATTCGCCTCCTTCCCGTGTAAGTCAAGCCAAAGGGCTCCCATGCGCCAGAAATGACATGCGGGCGAAAGAAAAGGCCCGCCCTCGGGTAAGCAGGCGTGTTCCGGAACACGAGGGGAAAAGACGGCATCAAGTCGACGAGAAACAGTTATATATTTTTAAACTGTCGTGGTCGCGTGTCTCAGCTGTGGAATGCGCTGTTTTTGTTGGTGAAGCTGCTGGTGCTTGGAGGGTGGCCCAAGACGCGCGCGCCTGGGCTGACGCCGTCTCTCTGCTGCAATGCAACATCGTGGCTCCCCGACGTGGGCCCGGCTGACCCAGCTGTCGGGCGCGGGGGACTTGAGTACTACCCGCATCCCAGGCGCCTCGAGGCTGTGGAGTGAGCAAGTAGGGCAAAGCAGCACGTCGTGTATCGCTGTGGATGGGGATACGACGGGTCCGAAGTGCCCAACAGCCCAGCCCTAGCTGAGGTCGAGTCGTGGCCAGTGCGAACGTCGCCGCTGGCCTATGCCAAGCCTCTGGTACAAGTAGTTCGTTCCGTGGTCGATGCAGAGAACGTGTCGACCAGCGCATCGCTCATCTGGGCTGCGCTGGTGCTGACGGCAGTGGTACACCTTTATCCCTGTCGCAGGATTCTGAGAGTGCAACTGCTCAGCAGGGTCGCTTGTTGTGGCCATTCTCAAAGTAATACAGCACTGACTCCATGTCAGATGCCGCGGCCGCCGTCGTAGTTGTTGCGTCCACGCCGCCCCCAACCTCGGGCCAGTCCCACTGCACACCCGCCATGGGACCAGCAATGTCAAAGTCCATGACGTTGGGCACCTGCGGGTACCATGCGTTCTGCATGTCGACCAAGTCAGACACGCTGAGGTGGTCGCCGGCGCCGTTGCCTAGAGCACTCGGGTCAAGGACGGTGTGGAAGAGCTCGTCTGCAGAGTGCCACTCGGGCTTGTGCATCTCGTCAATGGGGCTGAACGGGTTGGTTGAGCCGCTGCTGCGCCCCGACGACTCCGACGACGGCAGGGACGACTGCAAGGCTGGCGGCACTGTCGTGTCCATTGGCGAGACAAAGGAGGACGCCGACGAGCCCAGAACGGCAGTTGTGGCCGTTGACATGGCGTCCGAGTCGGACGAAGACGACGCCTGCATCATGGGTGGTGGACTGTGGTGGTGCATGGGTGACGGCACACCCGAAGACCCAGAGCTGGACGAGCTAGACCCAGATCGGGAGCCGCCTCCTCCGTAAATCCTGACACATGATCGCAGGTGCTTGCGCACCTGGCGCAAGGAGCGACCCTGGTTGAGGAAGTCGTTTTGGCAGGTGGCGTATAGCCTCGTCGCTAAGAGCTGCAACCGCCCATCGTATGCGTGCATTGTGGGCAGGTCCACAAGGAGCCCGCCGGTCCGCTTCTTCTTGTCGATGAGCGTCATTGCCCGGGCGCATGTGTCCATGGCCAGGCAAAAGACGTCCGGGAATGACGAACGGAGTGAGGGTGTGATGCTGAACAGATCCTGCGGCTGGTCGGAGACGAGGGAAAATATCTGCAGAATCTCCTGAGCAGATCCCAGGAACCTCTCAAGAACCTCCGGGGTCATGGGTTCATCAACGCTGCCCTGCGGTATGATGGGGAAGAGGAAGTGAATGGCCATTGTGTGGTAGACAAGCAGAACAAGACTCCGTGACGACACCTCAGTCACTTGCCTGTTGAGAATGTGAATACTCTCCATCAGGACTCTGTTGATCTCGCGGCAGACACACGCAATGTCCTGAGTCGGCTTGCCTTGCTGAATCCTCTGCAAAGCCAGCAGCGGCGCCTCTTGCCAGAACCGTGTGGCCGGCGACTCGGTGTTATCCGAATCTTGAGGATACAGTGCGAAAATGTAGGCGATGACGCTCACAATATGGGCCAACGGCCACATCTCTCGGATAACTGCCTTTTGTTTTTGGAGAGTGCTGAAGTTTTCCGACACCAGATCGAGCTGGATAATAGCTGATGAGGCCTCTGTGACAGGGAGGAAGATGGACGTCAGCGACGTTGGGAGCAAGGCAGGAAAGTGCCCGTTGCCCATCTGGATGAAAGCCCATAGGCTTAGAGAGTAGGTGGTCCAGTACAGGTAAGCGACGATTTCCTTCTCCACATCGAAGACGTCGATCCCGTTGATGCGGCTAGATGTCAAAGGCGCGGCCGTGCTCGATATCTGTTCCTTGATCTCGGTGGCGATCCTACCCGCCAGGCCAATGTAGCATGTAGCCCGACGAATTTGGAAAGAGCATAACGCATTCCATCCCAGAAGCATGAGCGCCTGGGCTGTCGAGATGCCGCTGAATATCCTGGTCGAGATACCGCTGTACATGCGACTCGGGTCCGCTGCGACACCGCTGGTGGGAGAGGGCTGATTGGATCGGAGGGACCGGGTTCGGAGCTGGGCGGTAGCCCACCGCAGTAGAACGTGGCCGCGAGCGACGGCAACTTCGTCACCGATGCTGAAGTTGGCGTCTGCGAGCATGGTTGCCAAAAGAATCTCGTCGTGGGTGCCGTCTCGCAGCTCCCTAAGCAGCAACGTCTTGGAGACTAAGAAAGACAGGGGATGCACCGAAAACCACACGTCGATGAGCTGTGTCTGTTGACGTTGTCCGTACTCTGAAAGGGGGTTGCCTCCCAAGGGAACATTGTCGAACATGGTTTGCGTTTCGTCGCCAATAAGACCAGACAGGAAGAACCTGGCGCCCCCATCTTCGACGTGGTGGCATCCAAGGGAGCCGAACTGCTCCGTGACTAGCCCGACCAGGTCGTGCGTCAGGAGAGAAAGGATGCCTGTGTACTTGACATTCTTGGGGTTGAACTTTGCCGAAAGACTCTCGTTGCGGCCCCGGGCGGAGTGTTGGATGGACCGGTGGTAAGCCGATATCCTCTCCTGCCAGGGATTGGAGCGGGGGCCGACATCTGTAGAGAAGTTCTCGTAGAACTTTTGCTCAAGAGCTCGAGCAACGTTATCACCATCCTCCACGGGGGTGGTCTCCTCGGGAACGGTGCCAACAGGGCTGCCAGCTGGCGAGCCTGTCGTTGACGAGCGCTGTCTGTTGATGCCTGTTGACCCGGTAGACCCAGTGAGATCTGATCTAGAGCCGTCTTGGCTGATTGTACGGGCCTTGGGGCGGGGTGGCTCAAAATCGTAGATGCAGTCTGCCCCTTGCCTCCGACATGCTTCGCAGATGGTCTCGTTGGAGCACTTGATCTTGCGAGCTCGGCAGAAGGCGCACGACCGCCTTAACGGGTGTTTTGAGGCCATTGTGAATTGTGAATGTGCGGAGATCCGAGTGAACGGTGTGAGAGAAAGGATTGGGAGGCTGCACAGGCAGATGCCAGTTCAAGTCTTGGCTTGTCGAGAAAGAGAAGTAGTGGTAGGCCCTCTGAGGAGTACAGGGACGTGAATTCCAGGCGATATACCCCCTATATCAGTGGTTCATATATGAAGCACCCGCGTTGTATGCGGCAACGGGATGTTGCTGATGTTTGTGGCGAGGGGAAGTTGAGGTGAAAGAAAGTCTTGTTGCCACTCCAGGGAGACTTGCCTCTTTGTATTGCATCGACAAGGACGATTGCTGCATGGAAGAACTCAAGATGCAATCAGATCGATGGGGGCCGCGGCATATGTATACAAGTAGGGCAGCGCCGTGAGTTGTTGAGAGCAGACCGGCCGACACTGTGCCACGCCTCATGCACGGCCGGGTCCTTCTGGTAGGAGGAATGGCACAGGGCCACGAGGGAGGGCAACCCTTGCAACCCTCTCTGCCGTATGCTCGGAAAGACAACGAGGCACCCGGGGGTGGGAAGAGGGAGACGAGCCCAGTGCGGGCGGCGTCATGGCCAGCGGTGGGAGCAGCGCCAGAGACAGACAGACAGACAGACAGCGAGGGAGGGAGCTCCGTTGCGCGTGGGAGGGTGCGGCAGGCGAACGCAGGCTCGCGCTGCGCTGCCTTGGCTGGGGCCGGCGTCGTGAGCGCCAAGAGGCGGCTGGGCCTCGTGGTGGTCGCCGAGCATGATCCCTCAGTCGCTCACTCAGCGTGAGTGAGGCCGGGCTTTGCCTTGTCGGACGGCCGTTGCAACGGTACCCGCAGCGGTGCCTGTGTGTTCTTGTGTGCCTGCTTGCCCGGCTGCGTGTCTGCGTCGCTGCAGGTCGTGGCGGCGGTGGAGGAGAAGGATGCTGGACGCTGGACGCTGGACGCTGATGAGGGACTGCTCAGTGCTGATGGCGGATGGGGTGGCGTAGACTGCACTGCAACCGTAACTGCACTGCAGTGAGCGTGGGAGATGGAGAGGGAGTGGGACGAAGGAAGTTGAGTCTGGACGACGATGAATGAGGTGAGGTGGATGGGAAGAGGAGGGAGGGGCGTGCGCAGACGACATGGCAGTTGGGCAGTGGTGGTTGGCAGGTGCCGGGTTCGGTGGGCCCGGACGGGGGTGTTCCCGGGGCCCCTGGAGCCCTGGACGGGGGCCTGCGGGCCCGCCAAGGGGGGTCCCGGGGTGCCTGACCCGCCTGTACTTCCGTTGAAACATGGGGGATGTACTCGACGGGTCGCGACGGAGAGGTGAGCTTGTACCCTGTCTGGTATTCCCATGCTATGGCTTGCCTTGCCTTGCCTTGCCTTGCCTTAGGCAGTTAGTTACCTTGGTAGGTATGCTGCTTTCGTTTCGTTTCGTATTTGCGTGTAAGCCGCCCTCCCGGGTCTGCCGCGTGGGACGAAATGCCCCGGCCGGCGGCGCACGTTGCAGCATTCCATCGTCTCTTCGGGCACTCGGGTCATCCACAGCCGCATCCATGGAAGCTCTGCCATTGTCCCTCCTGCCAGCCAGACGGCTCACACCTCCGTCTCCCGCACGCGAGGATTCGGGATCTACCATCTCCTCTTCCCCATTCTCCTGCTCTGCCCGTCCTCCTCTTGTTCCTCCTGCCTCTCTCCCCCACTCCTCAGAGTCCCCTGCCCCTTAGTCCCCGTCCCCCACCCATGGAACTCGTCGACCGGCAGACCACCCGTCCTGGCCCTCCGTCGAAGCCACGAAAACGTGGCATACCCACCCACCCAGCAACCACCCTGTTGGCCATCCCGTCCCGTCTGCGTGTCTCGTCCTGACGCTTCGGCACCTTCCCACGGAGCCTTGTCGTGAGCGTAAGTTTGAGCTCGACCCGGAGGCTGCACCTGCATGTCCCGGTGTTCCTGTGACAAACAGTTCGGCATCGAGGCACACACACATCACCCAGACACACACACCAGGCTTCGATAGGGTCCCGACGAGATTAGGCAGCGTCCAACGGTAACATCGCCGTTCTGCCTGTGACTTGAAACAGCCCCGGCTCCTGCGAAGCTGACAATTCGCCAGCCCTCTGCGCCGGCGGTCACACGGGACCTGACAGGAACTAGGTACCCAGCCTGCATGTCATCTTCTGCGGTGCTTCGGGAAGCCAAATGGAAGAAGCTTGATATACCGTCAAATCATAGCAGGTGCCCTATAGTGAAACATGGTACGAACTGCAGGCAAAACTCAATACGGACCACCAATGCGACGGACCCGGGCACACCATCTCGCCCCCGGGCGCACTCGTCCAACCCAACATGCTCACCAGCTCGCCTTGGCAACGAGTACACGCCTCTATTTTTGCCCTCGCCTTTGCGAGCTGGATCAGAAACCGCACCCCCTCCACATGGCCAGCCCACCATCTCATCCTGATGGCAGATCGTCGGCGCTCTGCCCCATCTCCCCCAGGGATTTACGCTTAAAGCTGCGATCCAAGGGTCCGCGCCTCTTCACTGCCTCTTCTTTCCGTGGCTGGGCGGGTTACCCAATGCCGTGACGGTGGGCTGGTACCGGTAGAGCCAGCCTAGGTAGCTGATCCAGAACCACGTCGGCACCAGCGTATACAGGAACCAGCGTACGAACGGGCCCATGCCGTACGGCAACCTTGCCGTGTGCAGCATAGCAAAGCTGTCGCTGAACGTGGCGAGGTCCTTGGTTCGCGGCTCCCGAATCTTCGCATAAGTTGCGAGGAGCTCGTGCGGCTTGTCGAGAGTCTTTCGGTTCTCCGCCAAGAGGTTGCCCAGGACAGCAGCGTCCTCGATTGCCTGGCAGCCGCCCCTACGTTGCGGTGTTAGTCCCCGTTTCTGTCGGAGAGGTGGGGCCAAGAGGATGCAACTTACTGCCCGAAAAAGCTCGTCATGCTGTGCGCAGCTGTAGTTGGAGGGTAAACTAGTTAGCATGGGTATTCTGCATGCAACATGCATATGGGCTTGGGCCAGGGACAAGGGTCCTGAGCTCCTTTGCCCCAATCACCCTTCGCCTTCTCGCTGCCGCTTGGTTTTCGAACGGACAAGTCTTACCATCGCCGAGAAGCGCGACTCTCCCATCGTACATGGATGGGAATTCCACTTCCTGGAAAACATTGCTGGCAATCACCCGCTCTGATTTGTCGACAACTGCATGTCCGGTCAGCACTCGGCTTCGAGTTGCGCCCCCCCGATCGTCGACGCCATGACGACAGAGGGCCACGCTCTTGCGGAGCGGCAGGGCTTACTGCTCCCAAACTGCTTGCCCTCCGCGAACGGATGGAAGGCTCGCCCGTAGACCTTTTTGATGTCTCCCGGCGTGATGGAGCCCCACACGGATCGGTTCTTGTCAACATCTCCCTCCGCTTTCTGAAACACGGATCGTCAGCTGTGATCTGCGGCTCCCACGTGTCGAGGCGCTGCTTCACGCTCTCAGCAACTCGATCAGCCTAGCTTAGCGGACCCGGACGGGAACAGAACAGTGTCCACAAGGCTGGCTCAGATGCTGGGCTGAACTGGACGCCGACATCACCTCCGGCACCAACCTCCGCGATCCATCTGGTCCGGAGATGTGCCACTTTCGCGCGGAGGTCATGGCTCCGGAGCTGAGAGCAAAGCGGGGGTACGGTGAAGAACCTTGTCGACATACCTTGACGCCAATGTACCACTGCCGGTTATCCTGGCACGGCCACGTGGTGAGGATGGCTTGATCGTAGAGCATCCAGTTGGCGACGCCGATCTCACTCGGGCCGCAATTCTCCAGCGGGCTTGTAATGCCGGAGAAGTGCACACGACCGGTGAACTGGATGGTGTTTCCCTTGTTCAAGTCGTTCTTCCGGAGAAGAGCGCGCCGGACGGCCGACCTGATGCCGTCGGCACCCACGACCACGTGCCCGCGGTATTCGTTACCGCCCTCCACGACGACTCGCACAGGCTCGCCAGGGACATCAATGACATCAGTCACCTTGGCGTTGAGCACGACATGCTCGTCCTCGCCAGCAGCGGCGTAGAGGAGCCTATGAAAGTTGTGTCGCTCGGCCGAGACAATGGGATAGCCGTAGGTGGGCTCAAAGTTGTCAAGGCTGACGGTGTTCCACTGCGTGTTGTTGCGCCAGATCTGGAGCTTGCGCAGCTTCTGCGCAGTCTCGAGCACCTTTTCGTAGACGCCAAGTTGGTCGAGCACCCTGAGGGCGTTGGGTGAAAGGGAGATGCCGGCGCCGACTGGCTGGAGCGTCTCGGTCCGCTCCAGAACCTTGTAAGAGATGCCTAGCTGCCTGCAAATTGCAGCCAGGGTCAGGCCCCCAATGCCTGCGCCGCAAATGATGACTTCGGCGTCAATGGCCGTCATGGTGAGATCTGTTTCTGGTTAATTCTGGGAGGGTTAAAGCGATGGCGTTTTTGGGATGAACGGCGATGTGAATGCGGCCTGCGATGTGTTGGTGAGGAAACGCGAGAGTAGCAACTGATCCTGGGCACTTGTTGCATTCTGGCCCGACGGACAGGTTTAAATATCATCGCCAACAGGTTATTGAAGGCGGCAGACGGCATCATGTCGTACCACCTGGTGGCACCAGCCGAGGCATGACCCGAAGAGTTGCGGAGGTTGTCAGCTGCGAATACCACCATTGGGCCGCTGGCCGGGGGCTGGCCACGGAGGACACGGAGGTCCTGTCGGACTAGCACAAGCCGGCGGGACGAAACGCATACCGCAAAGCCGGGCGGTGCGTCTGCGTTGGGTGTCGGCTCTCGATCGGAGCCTGAACGTTGCGCTCAACCCATCGTCACCGCGACGTGCAAGATCTGGAATATCCAAAAGTGCCGTCGCGGCCGGCATTGCAAGCATGACGCTTCGCGCTACGATCATCCTGAGAAATCCGTGGCTGCCTGCGGATGCCATTCTACTTCGTCTGAAGCGACAACATGACCCAGGAACGCTGGGAGTGTCAAACGTCGTAGTTGGGCTTCATTGCAGGACAACTTTAAAATCGAGAGCGTTGCACTTTGTGGTGCACCATTGGTCTGACGGCGATGCAGGCCTATGTAGTTGTCACGCCTCATGTTACGAAGCAATTCTAGGGTCATCGGAATTGCCTCCCTGAAGGAAGAAAAAGTGCTTGCAGTGATGTTGGCCACCAAAAAAAAGGCTTCTCACACCGTAGAGACAGCAGAGGCCGAGGCCGAGTAGTTCTGCGTGGCTGACAGAACCGCGAGTGGTGGCCGCTTATACCGCTGCATCGCGCCTACCCTGGGTACGTTACGAAGTGCCTCGGGGCCATTTCCCAGCGTCCCCCCAAGCATCGGCTGCCTGAGTCATCCTCTCCCACAATCATCATGCACCACCTGCCAAACCAGGGCGGTGTCTGCGCATCCTTCAACTCTTCTCAGTTTACCCATTTGCGGCTGCGGCAACACTCTCTGGGAGCGCTCAACGCAAGTTGAACCAGCGGCTCGTGAAAGCAATGTCTTCTATTCTTGTGGTCTAAGGCGCTAATTCACGCGCAATGGCTCATGCTTGCTGGGCCTCGACGGCCTACGGCGACGAGTCCTTCCTCCCGCCGGCGAAGGGCGCGTCCGAGACCATGATCTATTCTTGTCTATCGTCCAATTTTTACGATCGCGGCCTACAATGCGTCAGTTCTCGGCCCCGGACGCGTGAGCGGCTCCCGTGGATGACCTACCACTTGATGTCGGCAATTCCCACGCGGTTCTTCGCAAAATCGAGCACAATGTACTTTTCCTTGGCAAAGGTCTCGCCAAAGTTGCCGATGCTGTGATGAATACCCATTAGGGAAGAACAAAAAATGCCAGAATGGATGTGCCACCACTTACAACCTGTCACCGCTGGCGAGAGCTCGCACGTTGAGCACGCACTGGCCGTCTTGCAGCTTCTCAACGTACATCTTGGGAGTCACCTCCCACTCGCGGCGGTGGCCGGCAAACTTGTACTTGATGGTGGGAAACGAGTCGATCTTGGAGCAGTCAACCGAGAAAAACTTCTGCGGCCCGTTGTTTGGCGGGTTCTTGAGGTCGGCCGGCTTGGCCTGGGTGATCTGCGCGAGCCGAGCATAGGCATTCGGAGTCAGGGGTATGCCGCGGCCATAGCTGGCGTGGTCGAAGATGGCGCCCTTCCCAGACTTGTTCGACGTTGGCTCAATCTTTTGCCACTCCTTACCGATCTTCAGGCCGTCTAACTCGATGCCCCAGTAGTTGTACATCCCCGGGTTGTACACGAAGGCGAGCTCATTGACATCAGGATACACCTTGACGTTGTACCACCAGATCTTGCCTCTGTCGATGAGATCGTGGCGGATGCCACCCATGGTCTGGATGCCGTCATGCCCGTTGCAAACATTCTTCCGGCCCTCCTCATAGCAGTACACGAATCCGGTCAACGCGCTCCGCCAGTCGCCGTTCTTCCACTGCTGGTAGAAGGCAGACTGGTAGTCGGCTATACCTCACAAGTCAGCGCCAGTGGCAACGCGGACAAGGGGGGCCGTCTTGGGGACATACCTTTGTCACCCTTGTACACGGGAGACATGCCAAAGATGCCAGTGAAGGGGTAGGCGAAGCCAAGTTGGGACGCGTTGAAGGTCAGGTCCGTCAGCTGCAGGACGGATCGGCTGCTAACCGGCCCAATGTGCAGCACATCAGCGCCGTATCTGATGTGCATTGGGTTCTCCATGAAGAAGTGGTTCGGCTTCCACGTCCGGTCCTGGTACACGCTCGTCAAGTTCTTGAACGAGCTGGACTTGCGGGGATCCCAGTAAACCTGGTCCTTGTGCAGGCAGAGGCTTGGGTCCCACTGGTTGTAGCACTTGGGCGTTGTTACGATGTGGCTGATCCAAGTCCAGTCGACAAACACCTTGTACTCGAACCGCGGGCTGCCGAGACTGGCCTTGGACACGAAGCCAAGAGGATCCCAGTCCAGCGGCCAGTCGTACACGGCACGGCTATGGTTGGGCCAGCTGCCAGGCCAACCTCCGCCGTGGGTACGGCCCTCGAGATCAGTCGTGGGCGCAACCGCCGGGACGGCGTGCGCGGCGCCAACCAGCAGGGAAGCGGCAACAAACGTCTTTGCCCACATCTTGGCGTCTGTTTCAGGTCCAACACTTTGATCAGCATTTTCAAGACATTGGAGGAAACTTCGAGAGTGGCAAATGCAGGGGAATACACGTTCGGTGCACGTGGCGGCTTGTCACGGCTCGTGGCCGCCGCGTGCTAGGCAAGCGTGGTTGAGAGCATATCGGAGGCCGCGCCATACGACCACGAGTGCCCGAGAAACATGGGAAAGACAGACCAAGGACCGATTCGGACTAGAGGAATCGTGGAAACTTACTCAGTTCGCGTGGCAGAGCTCCAAATGAGGGATAATCAAGGGACACAAGACCAAAGGTGGTGGACTGCGGGACGGTTCGCGCTTTGCCACTGCCACGTTTCGCTGCGACCTCGTTGCAATTGGAAAAGGCGAAGAGCGAGGAAATGACGAGAGGCGGCCCTCTTCTTGTAGGCTTGACCTCCCGGCCAGCCTTCCGTGGAAAATTGGTCGCTAACCGTCCGAGAGACCTCCGCCTCCGGTGCCTCACGGAGAGCTCCCAACGACCATGCACGACTCCGCCTGCGCCCAAGATCTTGGCTCTCTCAAACGCGATCAGCGCTCACCACAACGCCAACTGAGAATGCCCAGCGTGGCTTGTGTCACCTCAAGACACTGCGTCACCTGACGGACGCCGCCCGACGACCCAGCTCGAGCACATAGCCCCACGTCACCGTGATGAACGGTTTCCATTCTTGGACCGCCCGGCCATCGTCATCGTCTCCGTCGCTTAAGGCACATCTACCGAGCGAGGTGCATGTGGAGCCGGCCATGCGACCTCACATCTAGGTGCCCACACGTCGTGTCGGCTCAGATGTGTGCCTCCAGCTTCTGAATGGCCCAGCGCCATCGCTCTCCCTCGTGAGCGCGATCTCGCGTTGGCGAAAGCCGAATCTTGTGCTAGTTTCGCTGCCATCGCGGCAGGCAGGCTCTGCCTGCTGCCTCGAAGCCACAGTCAAGGATGCCAGATCCGGAGAGGCTCCAGGCGGAAGTACCGACGTCAGTCCCCAGGCCGGGGCGCAACCTGATCGCGATGCTACGGGGCGACTTTTCATGGCGGCTGAGGCATGGCGTTACCATTGCCCAGTAGCATGACATAGGATGTGCTCGCCAGTGTTTCGGCAGCCGTCCAGGTGGCCGCGGAGGACAGCCGACACGTTTTGATATAAAGACTGAAACGTGCCTCTCCACGTTTCGGTCGCCACTAGGGATATCGATTCGACGACTGGATCTGTCAATCACGACTGGGCTCTGCGAGTCAGTCATTCTTCCCTTCTGTCGTTTTCCTGTGCTTCAACAGTTCTGGCCGGGCCACACATCACCTCTCTTGCGACCGCACGCGATTTTGAACTTGCTATTTTCGTCTTGTTTCCATCTCGAAGGCGACTCTGTGGCTCGAGTGTTAGTCACTTGCCGACTTCAAACTCCTTGGCCCTCCATCACTTTTCCGCTCATCCCACTTGAACCGGAACCATGGAGGTTATCACTCTCATTCAGGGCGACGAATATTCCGAGCTCACACCCCTCTTCCTCGTTCATGCCATATCCGGGGTGGCACTCCCATTTTTGCGACTCGAGTCTCTCAGCGATGATGACGACCGGCCGGTGTATGGAATCACCAGCCCAATGCACTGCTCTGGCGGCGAACACTTCAAGTACCCGCCTAGCCTCAAGTCCCTCGCCAAGTTTTACCTCCAAGGCATCAGACATGTTCAGCCGGAAGGCCCATACTTGTTGGGAGGATGGTCGATGGGCGGCATGATTGCCATGTTCATGGCTCAGATGCTTGAGGCTGCTGGCGAGGAGGTTTACAAGGTCATCATGATTGACTCTGCCAATCCTGAGGTGTTTCCCAACTTCACCAGCTCGGACGAGCATTGCGAGTTCGCGAAGGCGACGTTCGACCGCACCGTATCTGCAGGTGGCTTGCAGATGGACATGGGGGCCGAACCAGAATACCCTGCCCCCTCACCCGTGTTTGACCACGACGAGTTTGAGGATTACATCACCGCCCGCGGTCGTCGCTCCAGCACTTGGCGGAGTGCCGCCAGCTCCAACACCTCCATCAGCTCAAGTGCTTCGAGCATCTTTGACCACTCCTCCCCGCTCATGTCACCCAGCTCGCCTCTTACACCCGACTGCCTGACCGACGAGTCCGACTGCGACTCGGACTGCGACTCTGATTTCGGAGACAAGTGCGAGTCGCTGGAAGTCGGCGACTTTTTGCGACAGATCAAGCTGCATATCCACCGTGGGCTGGACCTCATCGCTGGTGTGCAGCCTGGGGAACTCTTTGTTCCCGGCGAAAAGTCCGACTTTGACGTCGTTTTGATCAAGTGCACGAACGAGCCCGTGGAAGTTGATCGCAAATACGCCGGCCACGAGGGGGCCAAGTTCATCCAGAAGGTCATGCGCGAGAGGGCGATGCGGTGGGATCCCGCACAGTTTAGGAGCTTCCAGTCGATCCCGTTCAGCGGCGATCATGATGGTGCCTTTCAGCCAGAGTTTGTTGGAGAGCTTAGTTCCATTCTGAGGGAGTGCATCGAGGACTTGGAGTGAGCATTACGTTGGTCTGCAGTGTGGGTAGAGAAAAGGACTGTCGTCGAGCATACATCTAGAGGCCTGTTGGGTGCTCTCTTTCATTCCCTCTTCATGATACAGGGCCCGGCGTTGGACATTGAGTTTGGACTTGGGGTTCTCCATGCATTCAATAGAGCGCCTCGAATTTACAAGCGTCTATTTGACTTCGGCTTCATACGTATCTTCGTGATGGCATTCATGGTGTTGAGGCTCGTGGCACCTGCGGCCGCCGCACCCTCCCATTCCTGTCCATTGATCCTTGGCGCATTGCAATCTGGGGAGCAGATTAAGTTGCAACGTCTTGCATCTGCATGGTGGAATGAAAACCGTCCGATGCTGACCACATCGCCAACTTCGCACCCTGCACGTTCTCCGCGCAACCTGGCGATGCAACCCAACGTCAACGTTGAGCCGCAGCCCATCAGCCACGCTACCCACGTACTGCGCGCAACGCATGGCACGTCACCGTCGCGTGCGCGGCCCAGGCTGCACACTAAGGGCAAGCTATTAAGCAGCAGCACGTTTCTCGCTGCAGGCAGGCGTGGTGAAACTGTCGATCCACGACGAGGGAGGGTGGTCCCACACCTCCGACGCCCACGGCCGGAGCCGAAAGGACTGCCCTCCGCGGCTCATCGTCGAGGGCCTTGCCTCACCCAGCGCGCTGTCACTTGGGTGGGAAGGGGGCCGTTGGTTGGCCCCTTGACTGCGCCGCTGCTGCAGGGCTGAGCTGTCAAACGTAAGACGCTTCCCACTCTGTTGGGAATTTGGGATCCCTGGGCTGCTGACAGGTGTGGTGGTGATACTTCATACACTTACACGAGCCTCACCACGATGTGCCGTCAACGGCGACGGACGCTTTCGCCCGACGGCCGCTGCTCGCGATTACAATGGCAGTTGCGTACACCGCGGGGCCCAATGGATGTGCTTTTTTCTCTTTCCGATCTGGCACGATGCTTCTATTGAAAGTGGCTGCAGGCTCAGCCCTCGGCCGCGCACAAGGCCGGCCGCGACGGTCAACACGCCCTCTCATCTCACCCACCTATGCCGCCCAAAAGGGACTCTCGTAACATCCGAAAAGCACATAGGACCCTGGAAGTCCCCAGTCTAGCTCCCTCGCTCACGAGGGCGCATTACTCACCCCGGCGGTGCTTGTCTTTCGGCCCCCGACATTTGCCGGAGGAGCGCATTCTGCATCTGCGAAGCTAGAGTAGTACGCCAGGGAGGTTGGCCACACTCACCACTCCCACCAACCACATGCACCACCGCCGCTGCACCAAAACGGTCATAGAAATCTTCGATGGCGCCGATTAGTGAGGAGCCGGGGGCGGCGGCACCTCGCGCTTTGGCGTTCGTGGGACCGCGCCCGCGAGGATGAGGCCGATGGCTGGCTGCATGGCGTTCTGGCCGATCTTGGTTACGCTGCTGCGAGCTCGAGTTCCAGAAGCTTGTGGGTTGCATGAAATGGCGTCGAGGGAACGTGGGAATTGGACGAGTGTCAATGCCAGCCGGTTCGGCAGCAAGGGGCAAACTACAAGGGACGGTATAGGGAATTGCCTCTTTTCGGCCAGTCACGGCAAATGGCACCTCTTGTGAACTGCTGCAACATGGCGTGAGGGATTTGCCACGATACAATGTTCCAGTCACTCGGCATGGATGCTCCGTAAACGCACATGGCAAGCCATGCGCCGGCCGCTTCTGGTACCTAACCTAATACTACTACCGATGAGCAACAACCCTGCGAGTGTAGATGCATGCGCCTCTCAATTATCCCGGTCGAGAAAGAACGGAATGGATGTTGATGCAGGACCCGAGTTTGCCCTGGCGGGCGTGATTCTAGTCACCCACTCAGGGGCGTGTACGAAAAAATATCGTGAAAACCCTCACGCTGCGTCCGCCTAGGCCTTCCTGATGCGAACCCTTACGCCACCTCGCAGCCACGGCGTCCCGACCTTGTCAAAGTTGAGATCGGTAAAGTCCGTCGTGGACGGCGTGTCCGGGCTCGCCCACTCAAAGTCGTACTCGCGCAGGAGCGTCGCCACCGCGCGGGTGACCATGATCATGGCCATCTTCTCCCCTGGACAGCGATGGCTCCCGCCCCCGAAAGGCAAGAACTTGACCCCCGCATTCCCCTTGCTGATGCTCCCGTCGCCCATGTCCTCGGTCGACACGAGCGTGTCGTCTGACTCGGCCATCCAGCGGGTTGGGTCCCAGACTTCGGCGTTGGGGTAGTTCTCGGGATCCATGTGCGTTAGTAAGGGGCTGATGGACACGATGGCTCCCTTTGGAACGTTGATGTTTGCTTCTGGGATGCATATATCCTGGCGAGCGAGCCGAAGCAGCTTCATGCCACAGTAGTATCGAGTCGTTTCTTTGATGCAAGCTTGAAAGAGGGTCGAGTGCTCGCCTTCCGGGTCGGCACGTAGCTCTTCTGTAACCTGGCGCATTATACCCGGATGTCTCATGAGCTAAAGCCAGCATCAGCCACTTGCGAATCACGAACCAGCCGTGGAAGGCACTCACGGCAACAATGTTCCACGCGATACTCGCAGCTGTGCTTGTATGTGCGGCAAACATTAGGATAGTGTGATGGCTGGGCATGAGATTCTTCAGCGGTATTGTTGCCTTGTCTTCCATGGTAAATGCAACGTAGTCTTGCAACGGCCTGGCGTCAGTCCTGTCGGCGACATCCCTCTCCCGCAAGCGCTCCAGGAAAATCTCCTTGAAGCGCTCACGGGCTTTTCGCAGGCGCCTGGCAGGTGGATGCGGGATCCAATCGGGAAGGATGAAGGAGAGCAGGCTGCCAATGTCAGCCTCCATTGCATGCAAAAGGTCAAAAAGCTCCAGCGCATTGTGTTCGTAGAAGTCGTCACCCATGAGCGAACGGACTATGATCTTATGGACGAGGAGAGAGACGCTGTCGAAGAGCTCAAAGTCTTGTTTCTGTTCCCACTCGACGGCCGCCTTGCGAGCCTCTTGCTCCGACACGGTCGCGGCATATGCCTGGGCAGGGCCGCAACTGACATATCTACTGAGTGAAGAAAGAAGCGTCCTGTAGTGGTCCCAGTACCCGGCGTCGATGATCTTGTTCAGGAACAAGCCCTACCAACATGTCAGTGTCCATCCCACCCAGTACCTTGGAAGGGAACTCACCATCCCGCCAACGAATGACCACACATCCTCACGCGTGTCAAGGTACACTTTGTTGAGCTCATTTCCTCGGAGCCAGACATTGTAGACGGAGAGGATCTGGATGCTAAACACGTCGCCGCACTGCCGGGTCGCCTTGTGTATCAGGGAAATGGGCTTGGTGGCAAAGTCGTGAGCATCGCTCAGGAAGGCGAGGGCTCCTTGGCCTCTATAGCCTGGGATGGAGATTTGAGGGCGGTTCCGATGGAGGAATAGGACGCCCAGAACCATCAACCAGACAGCAGCGATTGTGAGTAGCGCCATGCTGAGCTGTTGGCTCGTTGAAGGCGGCTGGCTGTATTGGGCACACAATCTACTCTTCGTCGCAAGGCCGCGTCAACGGCTGTTTCCCTCGAAATGAAGACCCGATCTTCAGCTCTGGTATATTGCAGCATTCATGATTCATATATCGTGAGCGATTGACACAAACCTCCGCCCAGAAGAGGTGGACCTTGGTGCGCCGTACGAATCAGCAGCAGCCGACATGACATTGACGCAAGTCACCGACTCTTCGGTTATACTTTGACTCGTAATGTGGCTGATCAGTGTCACAATCCCATCCCGGATTACTGTGACGTTGAGAGACATCCCCGATGTTCCGTGGCCGCCCGGAAAATGGCTGTGGACGAGAGGGTCCCCGGCTGAAGGTTACGCCTTGGCGTTCAACTCGCGCAGGGTCGATGCGTTTTCTACGCACAATCGGGCTTTAAAGTAGCGGCCGCAAAAAGTCATCGATGATCTACGACAGGCATGGAGATGTGGTGAGCACGTCTTTTCGGTCAGTCATACAGCTCCCGGGCTGACCGAAGCACCGAAGCAGGAGATCAAACACCGCAGCTTCCCAACACTTCCAGGCGACGCCGCACCAGGCAGCCAATACGGACCATGTCCAGCCTTCGCACGTGCATTCGCTGAGGCTCTTTTCGTGTCTAGCCGTGCTCCTCTCACCACCTGCTTCCTTCTGAGGATCGTGAGTTGTTGGCGATTCTTCATTTTTCAAGACGCGCCTGCCAGTCTCCCTTGCGTTGGCCAGAAGCACGAAAGTACCTTGTTCCTGCCTTGCACCGCAAATCTAGTCAGAAAGCGGTTCACCGTACACACCAGCGCCATTCGTGTCTTGAGGCGATTATGAGGAGCCTTGTACGTCATGGATCAGAGACACGGCCAAACCGCCGACAAGCAGTCGTTGGTGTCAAACAACAGGATGACCAGGAAAAAAAACGAAGTCTCCAAAAATGATATTATCTGCGCAAACGCTGCCTTGAGTTCGACTTTTGTCAATGACTACGGCGTGTGTGTGTGTGTGTATTTTCCGTCCAGCGGCCGTGAGGCCGCTCAGGTCCCTATGGGGCACAGGACGTGCTGAGCTGAACTATCTAGAAAAGCGCCGCGAAGAAGCCTAACCCAGTGCTGCTTGCAAGACCTCGCAAGGCCGAGCTGTCGAGGTCGAACCCGGAGGCGGCTTTCCTACCTCCCGCATGGTAGGTTTTCGCTAAGCACACAATACAAGTGACTATGGCTGGCCCCCGCGGCAAGTCTTCTCAGATGTCCATCCAGCATTTCATCGGCTCGGAGGCGCTGCGTGTCAGAGCCTGGTGCCCGTCAGCGGGTCTTCCAGGCGCGTGGCGATAGCCACAATGGTCAACCCTTGGTTTTCACCGGTCAGAATTCTCTCGCTCGTTCGGCCAACGCTGCTGCCGCAGTCCCATGCTCCAGTAACCAAGCAAAGGAAATGATCGGGGAGCGGCGGCAGGGAAAAACCCTCGGAAGGAATCAGAGGCTGTCGCGCAGCTTGCCTTCAGGGAGAAAAACCTCCGCAACCGGTCACCGTGATTGAAGGGCGAACCCTCCAATTGCCCAATAGCTCCTTGGTTCCGAAGGAATGCTATGGGCCAAAGTGCAATTGTCGAGACCGGCTTCGCAGAGGAATATGAACTCTCCTAAGGTCTTCCTCTGTGCTGTTAGGGCCACGATGGGCCTTGGCAGCGAAAGCGCGGTCAGGTGGCCTGCAAAATCTGGCCCAAGCTTAGCGAGCCGCTAACAGCTCTTCAGGGGTGCAGATTTTTACAAGGGAGAGTTGTCAATGACTACGGCGAGGGCCAAACCACAAGGTACCGGGTAGCGTGTGCGAAATGAAGTATCGTGACCTTCCAGCACTTACACGATCTTCGGCACCAACCCCGCACAAAATCGTGACGGCCAGAACGACAACACATCTCGACACAATGCCATCAATTCACAGCCGTACTGATGGTAGATTCAGAATACAAAAGAATTTCGTTTAGCTCGTATAAATGGAGTCATGCTCTTAGAGTGGCTCAAGGGCCGTCCTCCGCCGGATGTCGGCCGCTTGGCCGGATGTCCGCCACGTCGCGGGCCCTTCCCAGCTCATGTCGCACGACAGATGGCAGCCACGCGAGAACCTGTCTACTACGGCCCAATGATTGCAGTTCGTATCGCGGAGCAATCACATGATGTCAAGGCATACTTGGAGCAAAGATTGCTTGTTTCGCGAGTGGCAAGTCGCCTTGCTGGCGCCACAGTGACCTCCACCGCTGGAACTCGAGGCTGTTAAAAGGTGAACCTGTTTCGATCAAGACGAGCATCTGATCCCGAGAGCTTTGAGAGGTATAGAGAGATCATCTACCGCATAACATCATGAAGCTCTTTGGCGCGTGCTGCCTCGCGCTGGTGGCAGGCACGGCATGTGCTGAGCCAGAGCAGAGGCGTAGCCTTCGCAGCTGTGTTGCCGGCGTCTTTGGCAAAGATGCAGAGGCGAGAATTGTATCCTCAGAGGACGAGGCGTACACGGATGCCCGCATCGGCGAGTCAATCCAGTGAGCTTGAGAAACAAAATATTCTCAAGCCAGAGGCACAACCCTAACGAGATGATATATCAGGTTCAACCAGCTGCCACTGCTCATCGCCTACGCAGATGACGCCTCGCAAGTTGCTCCTCTCATCAGCTGCGCCAAAAAGGCAGGCATCAAGGCCGTCCCGCGCACCGGAGGTCACCAGTACGTGCACCAGAAACATCCCTACCTCGATGGCAACATTTGACGTGGTTGTCGCAGCTTCATGGGGTACTCTGCCCTCAACGGCACCCTCGTCGTCGACATCACGCACATCGATCGTGTGAGTGTCTCGGCGGACAAGTCGACGGCCACCGCCGGCGCGGGGATCCGACTCGGGGCGCTCTACACGGCGCTCAGCCAGCACGGGCGCGACTGGCCCGGCGGCATCTGCCCGACGGTCGGGCTCTCGGGCTTCCTCGGCGCGGGCGGCTTCAACATGCAGATGCGGCAGCTGGGCATGGGCGTCGACCACGTGCTGGCCGCGCGCGTCGTTCTCGCCGACGGGCGCACCGTGAGGGCCTCGCCGCGAGAGAACCGCGACCTCTTCTGGGCGGTGCGCGGCGGCGGCGGCGGCTCGTACGGCGTCGTCGTGGAGTGGACGCTGCGCCTCGCCCGCTTCCCACGCTCCGCCATGGTCCAGGTCAAGTGGGAGGACGCCGCGTCGCGAGTCGACCTGGCGGCGGGCTTCTTCGACTGGGCGCCGCGGACGGACCGTCGCCTCACGACCTCCATCAACGTGTACAAGAACCGCACCGAGGTCCTGGGCTGGTGCCTCGGCTGCCGCCTCGACGAGGCCCAGGCGCTTATGAACCAGTCGGGCCTGCTCGCGATAGGCAAGCCCGAGGTGCACATCGCGGGAGGGTGCAACACGGACAACGCGCGCATGTTTGGCTACATCGTGAGCGACTGCCTGCCCGACGCCGAGGTCGCAAAGCTGGCGCCCCTGGCCATGAACGTCGTCCAGCAGCCCTTCACGCCCGTCGACAACCACACGCAGTTCAAGTGGCGCGAGACACCGCAGAACCCGAACGCGCCGGCGGCCCAGCCGTGGGCGCGCTTCCGCCGCATCAGCAAGTCGTTCTTCGTGTCCAAGGACAAGCCCCTGGCCCGCGCCGCCGTCCAAGAGCTCGTCGACAGGCTGTCCGAGCTGCCGGACGAGGCCGCCGGCTGGGGCGAGTGGCACGCGTGGAACATCGCGGGGCCCTCGGACCAGGCTGCGTTTCCGTGGCGGGAGCGCGCGTACGCTCACCTCGAGTTCATCCTGACGGGGTCAGCCGACGAGAAGAAACAAAAGTCCTACCTCGAGTGGGCGGACCGCCTGGAGAAGTATCTCCGGCCGGTAGTTGGGTATGTTGGGACTGGCTTGACTGCCTGGACGACCAACCAACTGACAACTTACAGGCCAGCGTCATACGCCGGATACATGGACGCGAGCATCTCGACGAATGCTCTTCAGTCTTATTACGGACCCAATGTCGATAAGCTGTCTGCGATCAAGCGAAAGTACGACCGCTCCGACTTTTTCGACAATCCCCTTGGCATTCAGGCTAGCTGATGGTCGCCTGGGAATTCGAGTCACATAATTGTCAGTGCCTAAAACAAACTACACGTGAAGTATAAGATTATTGGCAGTATCTACTTTATCGTCTCTCCAAGTGCCAAACTAGTGAACACTGTTATGCAAGAGTGCAACTCGCATTTTCGCCGAATTCGTGCCCGATCCTACGCTCCTGACCCTAGACCGTCCGCATCGCCAGCCGACCATGGTATCCGACCATGGTATCCCTCATCTCTTGCGGGCTTTGGTTGACGGTTTCGGTTTCCTGTCGTGCTCCTCGCCAGCATACGTCTCTGACCAGTCTGCGTCCTCCAGACACTCCGTGACCACTGGATTCACGAAAATGTGATTTTGTAAGCCGCCTCGGAACAGAATCTTCATCATCTCCGCTCTTGAGAACAGAGACCACGAATCAATTCTGGCCGTGTGGTTTCCGAGCCGTAGCTTGCAACGATACCCGTATTCTGCCCTTCCGTCGTCGGTTCGCAGCGAGGGTGGCACGAACGAGTCCTTCTCCGGGATATACAGGGCGGTTGAGTAGTATGGCCCGACGCCTCGTTCCAGGGAAGTAACAGCGGACAGAAGACTCTGGCGAAGATCTCTGCGGGACTTTCTCGACACCGATTTTGCGCTCAGCTTTGCCAGCTCGTTCAGCTTGGCGGCAAGCCGCTGAGGGTCGTATGGAAGTTGAAACGGTTCTCCCGTCTCCTCCTCGTGGTTGCGTGATGACTCGTAAATGAGTGCAATGCAGTTGCCTGCGTGCGACTGAATCTCGATGTCGGTGCTGTCCAGCTGCTCCACAAACGCATCCATGGCGGTGTCGGCATAATCGGAGTAATCGTCCACATGGCTGGCAATGAAAGCCCAACCCTGCATCGCTGCGCACACGACGGCCGCATTGTCATGCGCCTCGACACTCTCGCCGTCGGTGTCAACGATTTCGACCATGTACTCCATCAACTCCAGGGCTGCTTCTTCCATGCCCCCGCCGTAGAGAGCCGTCATGCACAGGGCGTAAATGGCGTAGACCTGGCACTCTTCGTCGTCGTCATCTCTCAAAATCTGCTTCAGAGCTTTGCTTCCGGCCTCGAACGCATCCATGTCTTCCACGGTACCAATGGTCAGACAGTACGCTTGAAGGCTCAGCAGGCGTTCCCTCGCAGTACCGCCACGGTTCGCATCTTTCAGGAAAATGTCGGTTAGAGCATGCGCAGCATCGTCCAGCCAGTGGTGAGTCTCCGGAGTGTATCGGGTCCGGATATATTTGATATAGACCTGGAGGTATTGTTCGCGTAGTTCGCCATTGTTGCGCTTCTTGTCCTGGAGGTTGTCCATGAGCGCCTGGACATCGAAGGAGCCACCGACTTCCTGGGACACCTCAACTCCAGAGCCGCTGGAGTGTATGCTCGACGCCATGTCGTCGAACTCAAAGTCACCCTCCTCATCATCGTCGCTGACGTCGGACGTGACACGGCTCTGGGCCGCGGAATGAGAAGGCGATGTAAGGAGAGAGGCCATAGGCGATGACCCTTGGGGCGTCAATGCGCCCGACGCGCGGCCAGACTTTTGCGCCTTTCTGGACACCGTCTTGCCGGCGGTGCCCTTGAGCTCTTTGACTCTGGCGTGGTTCATGGTTGTTCGCTACGCAGCGTGGCCGCTGCCACCGACGAGAGCTGTAGAGGGAAGTAGCCTCAAGAGGCAGTTTCGTTGCTAATGTTGGGTTGCGGCAAATTGGATGTAGCCGCGGTGCGGGCTGCGCAGTCGCAAACGCCTCAGCGGTAAGAGAAATATTCGGTCAATCGATGCTGGGTCAAGAAGGTGTTCGCAATCGTCCTCGTCGAAGCTTGATGAAGTGCGCGCGCGTTGATGACTCGGAGGAAGCAATGTTTGGCGCAAAATCCATGAGGGCGAGAGACAGAGTAGGTTACAAACGGCGAGGTGCGCTGTCGCGACTTGGACCAAACGATGGCAAAGTTCTGCGGTGGGAAGGCGGAATGTCGGTGACGAAGGCTGGGAAATAAACGAGGAGACGAGGAAGGGCATGGAGGACAAGAAATCATGGCGGGTGGCGTTGACGTGTGTGCCCGCACTACCGATCCTCTGACGGGCCGGGCATGACCAACTCTAGCGCGGTTAGTGGTGCGCTATAGCGGCGAACTTTCCTGGGGTTGGCTGATCCGTGCCATGGCCGGCTCAGTGGAGGGGAGGTGGGAAGACGGGGCGGCGGCAAGTTGATGGGGCAGATGCCCTACGTACAGCGCACCGCCTGCAGCTCCAGCGCCCGCCGGGCACCGTCGAATACCCCGCTGTACTTGGGCGCCCAAGCAAGCACGGCGTCTGCCTTGGGTACCACTACTTGGAAGGGCAGGTAACCGGGCGGCGGGGGGGCTCGGGAGCTTGGAAGCGGGCCAGCTCAGCCCACTGAAGCGCATCGGCAGACCGCTCTTCGCCCCGCCCAATGACAGCATCTCACCTCACTCACGCCGTGTCGTCACACGTCATTGCCACTTTACGCGCTCGCCTCACGGGACGCGCCCACTTCGGACGCGGGAGGGGGCGCCAGCAGTCGACCCAACGCGCCGGCCGATTGCAACCCAAATTGTCGCTCAGGGCCTTGGCCGGGTGACTGACCTAGGTATTTACACTTCGCACAGGAAAATGGCTTCTGCTTGCAAGATGCATGTCGCGACTCGCGAATATGCCAGCCGGCGTCCCGCACAGAATGACTGAGGCAGGGCTGTCCGGTATGGCTGGGTAACACCCGTCCTTGACATGTCAGGACTCGGGCCAGGATCCTCCATTATGCCGGAGGTGCGACGGCTCCTTGGTCACCAGACACGACTGCTCTGACACGAAAATATACCGGCCATACAGAAGGGCGTGCGGAGACACTCGCCGCGGCCTTATCGGCACGAATGAATGCTCGCTTCCTGTAGCAACCCAGCTCGTAGCAATGCACTTTTACAGGCCGCGGACGACTCTTCGGTGATGTGGCGGCTGTCGGCCAGGCTGCCTGAGCGGCTGGGTTGAACTGCAACGCCCTGCTCCCGTCGCCGCCTTGCATCGAGCGCCTTGGGCACCTTTCCAGCCGCAGCTGGCTGCCTGCGACACCTGAGGTACATTGCCCGGGCATAACTGTAGGTGGTACGGCTGAGCTGGGGGCATCAGAAATGCCTACCTACTGCTGTGTATGGCCCAAATGCCCAGATGCCCGCCTCGGTATGAACGGATATTCGGTGCAGGAGAGGGAGGGGTGGACAGTGCGACCGTGCCACAATACCACCGGACTTTACGCCGTCTTCCGTCCGACGAAACGCGCTGCCAAGCAGCTGCCTGGCTCTGCCTCTCATGGACGAAGCATGGATGAAGCCTAAGCCTGCAATGTTTGATCGATCGTCTGGACTTTCCCGCCTACGCAGTATTCCTGCCGCTTCTCGAACCTTCTCTGTCTTTGCACGCGTACATTTTGCCTACCTAAACATCTCGGCTGCAGGGCAGCGCGTCTGTAGGTCCTTCTCCGAGGCCACCTCGGGCAACCAAGGCGCGAGCACTTGCACTGTGGGCATCACGCTTGCTGAGAAACCCCAAGTCCTCCAGCGCACTCCTCAGTGGGCACACCTCGCTCTTACCCCACAGGAGCTCCGATAAGGCGTGCCGCCAGCTCCCAGATCAACCACTTGCCAGGTGCCGCCGTCTGCCTAATACAGTGGCCCACCACTCAGCGATTGACCCCTGCCCCACCTCCTCCCCGTCATCCGCTTGCTACACCTCACGTCCCATGTTCTGCCCCTCCTCATTCGGACTTCGCAGCTACAACTTCGTCGTGCCGCTCACTCTCGAGTCTTCGCGGATCAAGAGGTTCATTTGTTCACGGCTCGGCGCGATAGAAACGTCCGTCTGCCTTCGTGTCAGGGCTCGCCTGAACTTCGATCTCTCAACTACAGTCCCGTCCGTCACACTCAGTCAGCCCCGCTGCGGCCTGTGACAGGGGTCCATGCGGGCGTGAATCCGCATTACGGCTGCCTCCTTCGCTGCGAAACACCATCAACCCTTCGCGTATCTGGTCTCCAGATTGCCTGTCGCCATGGCGACTCCTCAATACGACGACGAAGGTAAAATGATACCCAGACGCAGCCAGTCGAGTTGTCGCTGACTTGGGTCTCTCGCAGCGCAAGTGCTGCTTTTCGACTGCGGGCACGACCCGTCCACCGCCTTCACGGATCGACGTCTGTTTCTCACCAAGGATAATCCCACTGTCGCCATCGGACGCACCAGCAAGAGAGATGCAACCCTCGAACAAGCACAGAGCAACGCCTGGATCGATTCGGCGGTCATGTCCCGCCACCATGCGAAGCTTGAGCTTGATGTTGCAAACAAGGTCAGCCCCCTCCGCCGGATCAAAAAGAGTTCTGAGCTGACCCACGAGTGCAGCAAGTGCTCATCACTGACGTCGGATCTCTTCACGGGACTTACCTCAACGGGGTCCTCCTTACCCCAAATATGCCCCAGCCTCTGGCTCAAGACGATATGCTGAGGTTTGGAATCGCTGTCGTGAGAAGCACACAGTCATTTCCACCGTGCACCATGCGGGTTCTCTTCAAGTTCGGAACTGAACAGTAAGGCCCCCAGTTCCCCTACGAATGTTCATTTCTCTAACTAATATTTCTTAGACGACCCGAGGGAAGGCCTGCTGTCTTCCGCGTTCCAGACGACAGCGACTACGAGGACGACACCAGCGATGATGATGACGACGATCCGAGCATTTTAAACACCGCGGCGATCATGCTTTCGCGTGGATTCCGCCCTTCGGTGACCGTCAAGACTTTTAGAAGTGAGCGAGGCGAGGTTATCGACTTGACCGAGGCGAATCCGGGTGATTTGGAGGATGATGAGTACGTGCCCGAGCACGGACCCCCATCAACGGTGCCCGGCGCCACTAGCGCCACAACGGCTGCTCACAACGAGCTGATTCATGAAGCCGACGTCCCCGGATCTGACCCGCATAGCCCCTGGCAAGACCGCGAAGATTCACCACTGCCGGAGCCCCACCAGACAGATGTCGATGCATTGGACGAACTTCATGACAGCGCATCTATGTCAGAGTCTGCAGATGAGGATGATCTGGATCTCGACACTCCGAGTGAAGTGGACCTCAGCCATGGTAAGTTAAATGCCTGGCTCGCTCAGCTTATCTTGCTAACAGTGCTTTGTAGACCTCCATTCGTCGGAACTAGAAGATAGTTCTGCCAGCCATGACTCCCCCGAATGTGGCTGCGACGACATGGCGCCTGGCAAGCCCGAGCCTCCCATCGCAGAACGCGGTCCGCTCGAGTTTGGTGCCAAGGGCTTCAGCTCGCAAGACCTCGAGGCAGCGCAGAGCCTCGAAGAGGACGATTACATGCCCGCTACAGCGTATAGCACCATCGGTTTGAGCTCGCAGGAGTGCCTCAGCTCGCAGGACCTCGAAGCAGCGCAGAACCTCGAGGAAGAGGACTACATGCCAGCTACTGAGTCAGACGCCAACGGCTTGAGCTCGCTCGGTCTTCCAGCAGCGCAGGACCTTAAAGTGGTCGACTACATGCCAGCTACACTGCCATTGTCCGACATGTCCCTACCTCCTCTCGGAATGAGCCTGCCCGTTCCAGATCACATCCATCTGCCACCTATCGCTTGCAACGTCCGAGAGACCACTATGCACGCCATGGACCGATCGACCCAGGCATTCGACTCTGGGTTGGCCAAATTCATCACCCCGCCGCAGTCTGGCCGCGTGAGGAGACTTCATCCGCTGTCGCTTCATCAACCTGTCCCTCGGCCAGGTCAGACGTGGAACTCCGAAGACGTCGAGCCCTCTCATGGCTTAGGACAGAGTCCCCTCACCCCTGCGTTTGCAGCTGCTGCCGGAAACTCGTGCGACGGGGGTCCCACTAGCGGCTTGTTGGCTTCAGGTGCCAAGTTCCTCACGACTCCTCCTACTGGCGATGAGCCGAAGCATACTATCCCCTCTCCAGTAGATGACACCTCGGCCTACGCGTTTGAGCAGAGCAAGAAAGCGGCCGCGGTCGATGAAGCAAGCTCTCGGCGCACTCACGTTGCGATCAACGACCTCCTCGAAGCGGATGGAGAGCGCTCCAAGAACGTTCCGAAGGATCAGCCAGCTCGCAAGCGAAAGCTGGCCGACTTGTCCTCTACGACGCCAGAAGAGGAGCATTCAGCAGTTACTGCTGTGCAGCAACCCGGCAAGCCCGATGCAGAACGCCCTGCCAAGCGTCTCCGGAAGGCAGCCGAAGTTTTCGGATACGTTGCCCTGGGCGGCGTTGCAGTTATGTCGGCCCTGATTGCCACGGCACCCAACCTGTAGTGTGTTTTTTATTCTGCGCGCCTGGATGACTTGACAAGCTGAGCGCTTTGTCGCGACATGGCGATTCCCCTCTTTGCATGACTGATGGTTACTTGGCGTCCGGGTAGCGGGGATTGGGAGGACCAGTGGCAAGATTGAACAGGGAGTTGCTCTTAGTATTTGCGTTGCCTGGAGCCGGACAGCGGATGGATTAGCACGCGTTGCGTGTCATTTGTATAGTTCGTCGCTGTCCTGCCGTTGCTTTGCTCGCGCTTGCGCATGGCTTGTTCCGCGGAGATGAGCACACAATGATCAATTACGATTTTAATAAACGATTTAGGCAGTCCGAGGTAGTCTGTCGGTGACGCCGGAGGCTGTGGCTGTGTGACGACGGGCCGTCGTGTCGGTGAGTACGGAGCACGGCGTACAAAGCAAAAACAGGCGTTCCTCGTTTAGCACCCATGGGCCATGGGCTTGAGAGATTGGAGTCGGGTCGGGGTATAGCAAGTGTGTTAATAAGTCGTCACCCTGGCGGCCCGGGGAGCCGAGGGAGCGGCTGGCGACGCCAGATCGCCAGGGAACGAACGACAGGCACGGCGGCGGAATGTCACTGTCCGGAGCCGCCCCACCGTGGTGCCTGATCATGCAGTCTGGTGGTGGCCGGGGCGGGAGCCGGGACGGGACGTCAGGCATGGATCCATTGGTGGCCTGTGACGGAGCTCCAAGGTTTCATCGGTCGGTCAATGCGACGCACGACATCGAGGAGCCCTGGCGCGCTGGAACAAGCAATTCCAAAGACGCAAGTGGCCAAGCCTATTCGAGGGACGGGCACCGGGGGCTTCGGTGTGGACGGCGAGATCTCGGCCGAAACGGCGACGACGACACCAACGTGAGCGGCACACTCGGGAATCGCGCGGTGACAACGGAAGCAGAAGATGGCGAAGGTGGATGACCGCTTACGACCCCTACCTGGGCAGTCGATATGTATTGTGCCCAGACGTTTGATCATGGTGAATGCCACTCGAGGCCGTGAGGCAGGCATGCGGGTCGTCTTATGGTAGGACATGGGGGAACTTTTGTGGGAAGTCACGGGGCAGATGGAGAAGAGGGTGGAAATAACAATAATGATGATAATTAAAGTCAAAACGAAGCACAACCGTACCTGCCTTTTGGGAGCAGCGGTGTGTGCCACAGTCCAAGGGTTTAAATTGTGGCCATTCTGCCGTGCCTTCCGTGTCTTTCACGTCAAGGTCACCGTCAATGGCAGATGCGTAAGAAAACAGGTGCGCTGCCAATCACGGCCGCTGCCCGGCCGGCCGGTCTTGCCTGCCACTGCCAACATTCGCCGCGCTCGCACCTTCCGTGCTTTCGGGGCTCGTCGTTTCGTGAGCCCTGGCCAATCCCCACTTCACCCGTCCTCGTCCGCTTCCTCCTCCACCTCGTGCTGCTGGTGCTGCTCCTCCTTCCCCCTCCGCGCGGCGACGACACAAGGTACTCACTCTTTCGGCTTTCAATTTCTGCGCCGTCATTTGCTCTCACCGTGCGCTCCAATCCCGTGGGCGAACCGAAGGCGAACCCGTCGTCGAAGAGGCCGATCGCCATTGCCCAGCGCCCACCCTAGACAAAGTAAGGGTCCGGCGGGCGGTCCGGGGAGCGCCATTGGCCCTTGAACCATGCAGGTCCCGTCGCCCTTGGCCGTAGTTGCACCCGGAACGGCAAAGCTGGCGCTGTCGAGCGATAGCTGAGCTTCGCCTTTCTGGGCGGCCGCCAGAAATTCACAACTGCGAGACACACGGGCATTGGGCAGAGACAGTCGCATCCCGCCGCCGCCGTTCGCTGCTCACGTTAACGCGCCGCTTCCGCCCTCGCTTCCGCAGCCACCGTCACCGCGCCGTCGCCGACGCCGACGCCGACGCCACGCGCGCCCCCTTGTCCGTTATCCACCTCTCTGCGGACAGGGTCTCGTCCAGTGACTCCAGTCCACCTTCGGGCCTCGATCTCACTCACTGCGCGCCGTCGTGACACTGCAGGAGTAGAACCGCCTCCCCAACGCAACGTCGCCGCTCGCCCTGTGCACCCGCCGCCAGGCCTGCGAGGTGCCTGGCTTCCCCACATGGCCCCAGCTCTCTGCGGTCCCAGCATGTCGTGTAAGCCCCGGCGAGGCGCTTCTCGGGCTGTTGCTGCACGAGCCCTGGTGATGCACGGGCAAGGGCAAGGGCATGGGCATGGGCATGGGCAGCAGCTTGGAGGGCGCCCAGGGTTGGAGGGGAGGGGACGCACATGAGCCCTGGCCCACGGCTCCACGAATGTGGCACCCGCGGACACACATTCCCACTCTTGTCGATGCGGCCCCAGGGTGCGGGCACCCCTATGGCAGAGTTGTCGTCATGTCGACGTTGTCGTTGCCATTCAGGGCCTGTCTCGCATGGACTGGCTGCCACTCGTTTCCTCATTCTCCATCCCCGTCCCCCGTCTAGCTTCGATGGGTCTGCATCTCTTGCTGCCTGCCCATCACGGCCTTCGCCCGCGAACCAAGAGAGCGGGCCAAAGGAGATATGGTTCTGCAAGAATGGAGCAAGGCCGACCCAACGATCCGGTTGGGCAATGGAGCTGCTAGACAGCAGCTGGGGAGTGGGTTTCGGTCCAGCTTTGAGCTTGCAACGACACGATGCTCGGCGGTGCACTCGCCCGCCCGGGGCCACGGACCCCATTGGCAAGGCTCGGCTTCTCGTTGGTGTCTTCTCGGGGCTTGTGCTAGCTGATGGTCCAGCCTGGTCCAGCCTTCTCGCCCTCTCATCGTTGTCGAGCCTTCACTCGCCCGCCGGGACCCGTGGGGGAAGTGCTGCATCGCTCCGCCAGACGCTGTTGCCGTATGCACCGTGGCAGCTAGGCATGCAGGTAGGTCTCGAGCCATTGGATGCCGTTGAAGCCGCTGCCGTTGGATCGCTGGCTCATCCCAACAAACGGCCGTCCCCGGGCCTCTGCCATCACCCGGGACGATCATGATGCACAAGCGGCTTATGGTGGGACTGTCCTCGACCCAGGTCGGCCGCTGGACCAAGTCGACGAGCTGTGTGGCCCTCTTGTCCGCTCCGCGCCAGCCTCGGGTTCGTGACCTCCTTGTACATTAATTTGCGCCCAGCAACTTCGTCTCCTCTCCTCCCGCACCCACGAACGGCTCTCAGGCCTTGCTTGCTTTTCGTCCCAAGGCGAAGACTACGCCCACGCCGCAAACCCCCTTCTTTGTGCGGAAGAAGCCTCGACATGTATTTGTAGCGCTGCATCGCCGCCCTCGTCTCGCTTCCGACCTTGATCCCACCGCAGCCGCTTTGCAAGACTTCGATACCCACCGACACCTCAAATGTCCACCTCGACTTTCTCCGTCACCCGTTCGTACGTTGAGGGCTCCATGGTGGGGATCATGGACGGATGTAGGTCGCGGCGGCAGTCTGATGCCCATTTCCTTGACCCCTCCCCGCCGGCATTCTCGAGGTGCATCTTTCGAGACACTCGTATGTGCGAGCCGAGACAACATCTCGAGATGCCAGGCCCCAAAGAAAACCCGCACATGCCACGGAGTGTGAGCAGACACTGACGCATGGCCCGTTGTTGGCTCTCGTTTGCAGTGAACGAATGCCGCACCGCTCGAGTCGCAGAGATCCTGGCCGACTTCCGGACGCTGCAGTACTATATTGCGAACGCGCCCGCAGAGTCGGACAACGCAGAAGACTATTACACGGAGGGCTGGGCGGCTATGCGACAGTGCGCGATCGACGGCCATCACATCCTCGAGTGCGCCGCCGATACGAGAGTGCCGGTCACCCATGGCGGCGAGGAGGAGCAGACCAAGGCCGAGCTGAAGCAGTGCGTCGCCTCTTTACCCCTCCCGCGAACGCAGCCCCGTGCCGGTGAACCCTGACCCGAAGTCTCGACTGGGGTTCCCTGAATCGGTGAGCTAGCCGGAATTGCGACGGCATTGTGAACTAATTACGCCGTGCGTTCGGAACGGGGAACAGGGTTCTACTCGACGCCTTCTCGAGACGACATCAGGGACAAAAGATTTACATGCGCCAGGGCGCAGCCCAACGGTGGATCGAGTATAGAAGCCAGATCCTCCAGGGCAACCGACCCTATGCCGGGGTCCAGCCTCAACTGCAGGCTTGCGATCAGCAACTGCGCGTGGTACGTGGCACTGAATCTTCACCTCAGGGCGGGTTGCACAAACCGATTTTGATTTCGCTTCCCCTCCGGTCGGACAATAGTTTGCTAATTGTGCAACGCGGTACTCTGCCGCGAAACAGGAGCTGGCTTCCATAACAGACGAGTCCGTCTACACCGAGCTCGCCGCGTCAGATCAGATCCTTGGCCGCTGGACGGTGGAAGATCCGAGCCTGAGGAGCGTTCTGCGGTGGCTGCGGGCGCGGCAGCGTTGATTTTCGAAGTGAAACGGCCTACATGACTAGAACAGAAAAGACGAGCAAACAGAGACGACAACGAAGCGCCTAATCGTAATGCTACGGGAGCGACCATTGACGGCCTTTTCAGCTTATTCTTTGAACGGCCGGATCAGCATATACCAGCAACAGCACCCACGATGCGACGCGGAGGGGACAAACGTGGCTAAGCGAAGCTACGACGATGACGACGTGTGACGGGGACCAGTTATATTGAGCAGGCCTGGGGAACAAGGGAAAAGGTGGCGCGTGGAGTGACTTTTACATTGCCTGGCGCTGGTCGCCTCGAGGCGGGTTTCGGGACGCAATGACTGATTGGGATTTTACGAGGCATAGAAGGACGGACAGGGTATTCTAGACGGAGAGTTGCATTGGGAACAGGCTTTCCTTGTCGTAATAGTGCAAGACACTGCCCGGGGCAGTCGATTTGTGATACACTCGTTCTTGGAATCTCTGGTGCACGTGCGGAACAGGAGCCATATCGCATCATCGTCAGGGTTATTATGGGCTAGCGTAGATCTTAACATGGCTGATATAGGGCATGCATCCGCCAACGTCACGTCTTGCTATGTACGCACAGGGCGATTCCGCCTAATGAAAGGGCCATGCCAATGCCGGTATCTAGCGTCGTCAAGTTCAGCGCTCGTCATAAGCGAGGTCGTTGGGAGACAGGCTTACCCCTGCTAATGACCTTGCCCTCGACGTACCACTCGCCGAGGACGGTGAAGAGAAAGGCCATGGTGTTGACAATGGGCACGGTTAAACTCAGCTCTGGGGGCGCGCGCACGGATATCGTCAGCCTCGATCGTTGCTGGCCGGGGGGCGGTGGCTAGCATGGCGCATGCACGCACGCATCGCAGGTTGCATGTGACTGTCTGCATCATGCATCATGCACGATGGGGGTGAAGTGGAAAAGCGGAGGGGAGGGGGAGGGGGGGACGGGGAGGGAAGAGAGGAGCTACTGCGAGATACGTCGGCCCGGGGGGGTATGAGGCTGGAGGAGAGAGAGAGACAAAGGGGAAGCGGAAGAGGAAGAGGAGGGAAGAGAGACGGGACTCACCGGCCTGCCCAATGAGGAGAAAGAACCAGACGCTGCCGGTGAGGTTGAGCAGCAGCGGGACGGCGTAGCGCGGGTTGCGCAGCAGGTCGACGACGGCGAAGAAGGCGCGCAGCAGGCGGGCGCGCAGCCACGAGGCGCGCACGCGGGGGCTGTCGAGCAGCGGGTGCGGGGGCGGGCGGTGGGAGCGCGCGGCGGCGCGGATGAAGGGCGTGGTGAGGCCCCAGGCGAGGCCGACGAGCACAAAGGAGAGGATGTAGTTGAAGACGGGCGGCGGCGGCGACGGGGATGCCGGGTCCGATGATGGTGGAGCTGCTTGGCCGCCGCTGGCTGCTGCTGCTGCTGCTGCTGATGCCATGGCGTCTTGCGTGCGCGCGTCTGTGCGTCTGTATGTCTGCGGCGCACGTGTCTCCGCGAGTGGGAGTTTTTTCTCCTCCGATGAAGTTCTGGATGCGGAAAAGGGTGAGGAGGGAGGGTGAGAGAAATGGGCAAATGGGCTGGTCTCGATTGGTCCAGTTCCGAAGGAGGCGCGGCTGCGGCTGCGGCTGCGGCTGCTAAAACGTGTTCACGAGTTGGATGTCGTGAGGGGGCGGGGGCGAATTGATGGGTTCGTCCGATAGTGGCCCCAACGTGGTGTTGTGCGGTAGTGGTGGTGGTGGTGGTGGTGGTGAAGTGTCGTCGTCGGTCGTTCTCGCCCCGGCGGTTGACGTTGGCCCGTTGGGCATGTCCGGACCCATACTTTAGCAGCCAGCGCCATGACGGGTGCGCTATTCCCCTTTCCGGCAGCGCGCCCCGGGCGGGGCTTACAAAGCGCCTGTGGATCTCCGTCCGTGCGCACAACATCCCGCCAGCCAGCCCGTGCAATGGAATTCCCATCCATCCCTCCCCAAAATCAACATGCGCTTGCTGCGTCCAGTGGCAGGAGGACCCTGGGCGTCTCTTTGGGGGGGAGGGGACCCAGCGCGCTAAGGCCAGACGACCACCCAGCCGGCAGGCAGCTGGGCACCCATGGAGGGCCGCCTCGACTGCACCAGCATCTGCAAAGCACCTGGCCAGCTTATCAGGAGCCCGCATTGCCTCCCCAATTATCCGCGCCCAAGGCAAGTGTGTACTAATACCTGCACGGACGATCATGCATGAGACTCGAGGAACCAAAAATAAACCCCCTCCCCCCCGGCGCCAAGATCAAAAAGACCGTCGACAGGCTTGGCTTCTGGCCGCGCTTGTCAGTGTCATTGCCTCCCTGACAACCCCCATGACCATTGACGTCGTCATGACACAGGTCGCGGGAGTACGTTAGGTACGTGAGTACGTCGGGATCTAGAATCCAATACTCCTCCATGCCTGAGGTCCCGTCAACGGGGCTCCCGTGTCTCGGGTGCGACGGTGCTAGCCATGGTCCCCGCCCGCATATCTGCTCGTCCCGGGTCCGGACCCGGTTGCTCGCGTTCGTCGGGAACTAAACCTCGGGGATCAATGACGCGAGCGCCGCCAGACGACAAAAGGTGGCACCCCGTGCACGGCCGGAGGCGTCTCATAATCGTCGGTTTCCGCCAGGAGGGGCGGGATGGAGGGGGGGGCGGTGACGAGAGGATCCATCAACGTGGTCGACGTCGTGCCGTCGTCCGGCGCCACGGCCCGCCTCATTCAGGCCGCGGGAAGATGCTGATTACCAGATTGCAAGGTTCACATCCCGCTCCTCCTCGCCAAGCACAACGCCGTCGCAAGTCGACAAAACCCGCACCGCACGTGAAACGCCCGCACGCCGCAACAGCCCCGTGACCGCGGCCGCGACGGCGAAAATATGGAGTCGGCAGCCACCCGGGGCGCCGGGTCTCACGCACTCTCGCGCCTTGACGACATCCACTGTATCACGGGTCCTCACGGGTCCTCCGCCCTCCCGCCCACCTCCCGGGCGGCCACGGATGCCGTTGCCCCTGTCCAGCTGGAGGACCCCTTGTTGACGCCCTTCTAGAATTCGGGGAGGGGGGAGCTGCATGAGAGGCACCCAGGATGCCAGGCGATGCCAGGCAAGGGCACCCCACCCTCTGGTCCCCTCCACTCGCTCTCTCGTTCCCTCTCGGGCGAGTTGGGGAGACTCGCCCGATGGGCCCCTCCCCTTGGCCGAGATTCGCGACGGGAGCAAGGCCGGCGGGTGGAAGGAAAAAAGCCAATGGCTACCCCTGTGGCGCATCAAGGCAAGGCTGAGCGGCGCTGGACAGGGGTCGCGCTGCACCGTCGACGATCCACACGACGGGAGTCCCGACGCCGTGGAACGGACCCCATTGGCGGCGCTTGCCTACGCTGCGAGGCCCAGCCATCGATGGCTCCCTGGGGCTGAACGCGCCTGGACGGAGGCCGTCAGTCAGACGTCCCGCCTGCAGCGCGCGTCAATCTGGGCCAGACCGTGGATGGTGTGTTCAATGCAGGTTGCATCCATGGGTGCACTGCCGAGGGGCATGTCACCTGCGCCGCGCCGTTGGTCGCCCTACATGTCTGTCCCCTCGCGGCTTTGGCACCTGTCAGTTCCCCGGCTCACCCAACTTGGGCTTCCCATCCGAGTTGGAAGCCACCGAATCTGCAGCGGGAGCTCGAGGTACCAAGCTCCCGTCCGTACCACCTAGCCATTGAAGGTACTTGCTGCCCGTACGCCCCCAAACCTTTCATGGTCGCGCAAGGCGATATACTTAATTGGAACCTGAGACACTGCGGCCCTCCCGGCGGCCTCGACGTCCACAACCTACTAACTAGGTAAGGTACCCCCCGTCATCGCAACTACGTACATGATACATAATACATGCAACCACATCTCGCTTCCCTATTATGCTTGCCCACCGTGTAACTACGTACAAAAAAAGTAATTATACCGTCGAATCTTTCCCGTGTCACGCGACCGGATTCGTCTCGCCACCACCACCGCGGGCAAACGCTCCTGCATCCGCCCGCCGAAGCCGAGCTTCAACAAAGCAAAAATTACATGTACGCACCGTAGCATCTACATGGCTTGATGGGTACGACGGACATAAGACATGGTAGTATGCAACGTTGATGATGATGCGGCAGGGAGACGAGGGATCGGCCGCCCTCTCCTCAACCGGGGGCCTGACAGCAGGAACCCCCGGCCGGCAGGCAGCCCGCTCTCTCGACATCCAACCGGTCATTGCCCGGCGCAAAGCGAGCTTGGCTTGGCTTCAGCCAGCCCTACCCGGCATCCCCTTGCCTGGACGTCGACTGACGTGTCACGGTGTCGCGGTCCTAATAATCTCCCTTGGGGAGCTGTCAGCTTTCCGCGCGACACACGTAATGTAGCATCGCATCCCATCGTATCCAGTCTTAACAGCGCCGCGGATCCAATCGCATAGCCAGGCGCGCCGACTTACCTCGTAACCGAGAGACACGTCCCAGAGGCAACCATACGATGCAAAAAAGAAAAGTAGTTGCATTTGCATTCTCCCTATGCCTATACGACAGTCCTTCAACTCCGAGCGCCTTGGCGGAGCATGTCCCGATAAAATCACACCCGCGCTGACATCGGCCCTACGCCTCAGCCGCGCCTTTGGCCGTCTTGGTATCACAATCGTCTCAGCTGCCGTGTGCAGTCGTTCCCTGGGAGGGGCTGGCACAGAGTTCCAAGCATCCCATCCGCAGGGCCTAGCCCTCAGTATCACATCTCCCGTCTGTGACCACAAGTAACCCTCCAGTATGCAGTTACCGCGTCTCCGAGTAGTCGTTCAGCGCCACGCAAACCGCCCCGCGGTGGTGGCCGTTGTACTGGCGGATGATCTGCTGGCTGTGCACCTCCCACAGCCGGGCGTAGTGGTCCGAGCAGGCCGTCACCAGGTACGCAGAGTCAGCGCTGAAGGCGCAGTCCCAGACCCATCGCTGGTGGCCTGTCAACGTCGCCTCGAGCGGGAACGGCTTCGGCTCGGCCTCTGACTCGGGCCGCGGCTTCGCGTCCTTGACCTCCCAGATCTTGGCCGTGTGGTCCGCGCTGCACGTCGCCAGCTTCTTCACGTCGGGCGACAGGAGGATTCTCGTAATGTACTCCTTGTGCGCGCTAAAGTGCGTCACTGGTAGGATCTTGGTGCCATTGAACACCTGCAGCAGCGTCCACACAAACACATTTCCCTGGCCGCAGTTAGTCCGTGCCTCTGTCAGTGCATACGTCTCGCGAGGGCAAAACGTACAGTGGTGGTTGCGGCGCAGAGGAGCGTGCCGTCGCTCGCCACCGTCACGCTCGACACGGGAACGTCCTCCTCGGGCATCAGGTCGTGTGCGCACTGGTTCTCCGCCAAGTCCCAGATCCTCACGCTGCCGGACCGGTCGCAGCTGATGATCTCGCCCTGGTTCGGATGGATCACGACATCGTTGACAGGATGGCCGTGGTTGTAGCTGCGCTGAATGGAGCCTGTGCGCGTCTCCCAAATCTTGACGGTGCCGTCCTCGGAGCTCGTCACCATCCACTTGCCCTCGCAGTGGAACGCGACGCCCGTGATGTTGCCCGTGTGGCCCTCGAACGTCAGGAGCGGGTTCGGGTTCGTCGACTTGATGTCGTAGAGCTTGACCGTGTGGTGGCCCGCCGCGGCGAGGAAGCGCTTGTCTGGCGAGATGCAGAGGCGGTTGACCTGCGAGTCCGGGTGCTGGATCGTGCGCGAGCATATTCCGGAGAGCGCCTCCCAGAACCTGCATCGCCGAGTTAGCACCAGGGGCCCGCCGTCGAGCGTCCAGGAGGCGGAAGCGCGAACCTGATCGTGTGATCGTAGCCCGCTGGGTGAGGCCCGTGTCAGCTCAGAACGATGTGTTGCGTCGCGCAAGAGGGTCAATACCTGTGCAAAGAATGACAGACATGGCGGCGGCAGCTTCCCCGGTGGCGTGAGGCCACTCGCGTCGGAGATCTGGCAAAGCGTGAGTTGGCGATGAAGGTCTGGAATTGCGATGTCTGAATGACCCGGATGTCGCTTCAGGTACCGCGCTAGGTGGTAGGTGCCCAGGTGACGTTGGGGCGCAAGACAGTGGGGACCGCGGCTGGCGTGTTTATCCGCCCAGCTGTGCGACAGTGCGACCACCAACAACCACTCGCTTGTTCGACGTCAGGCCTGGCAGTACATTCAAAGATCGCAAACGGAGTCCTCTACAAGCAAGCGCGATAGCTACGTGGAAGCTGCCGGAGCAGCTTCCCAATAATCGCAGTTCGAGACATCCTTGGCTCCGGGCTCATAGCCTGGAACGCCTCAGCATCCCACGTGTCGCGCATAAACGGATTTCGGCATAAGCTGGACTCTATTGCACATGTCTTTAGCTACTAGAACACGAAATGCGACTCCCCAGTCGTGTCGCACTTCCACCGGCCTGCATCCTTCCGCGACGCCAGCCTGAAGCCTTAGTCCTTCTCGGCGATGGCTTGTAATCTGTCGTCAATCTCGTCCTCGGTGAGCATGCGGAACGACGGGTCCGTTCCCTCCTTCCCGTCCTTGCGCGGGCCGCCAACGATGCCAATCTCAATCTCCCCCTTCTTGAAGTCCATGCTCAGGACCGTGCTCAAGGTCGTAATCGCCAGCTCCACAACCTCCTCCCAGCTACCCTCGGCGTGGTCCTTGTTGCGCAGCTTCTTCTCGAGATGATTCAGAGCCTCCTGCTGCTTGGGGCCGGCCGCGGTGCCCTTGTAGCCAATGTAGTAGCCGGCGGGGTCGCACTTGAACAGCTGCGGGCCGAACTCGGAGTCGAGGGCGATGATGGTCGTAGCCACGCCGTATGGCCGCATGTACGCCTTTACAGAGTCAGAATCTCAATTGCGGCAGTATGTTTATCAACGAACTCACCCGCTGCGTGTAGACTTGGCTGATGTTGGCCAGGCGCTTGGCCAGGACGTCGGCGGGCATCTCATAGCCAAACTTGTACCGGAACTCGGCGGCCTCGCCCTGGGCTCGTTGCGCGAACGCCCTAGCATCGGCAATGGAGCCTGTGATGACGCAGCCGACCGAGGGGGAGATCTGGAAGATGTGCGAGACGGACGCCGGGTCGATGAGCTTGTCCTGTGGAGCGCGGTGTCAGCAGCCAGTCAATACACCCCATCGTGAGGGGCAAGCCTACCGGAACCTTCTTCTGGGATAGGACGACAGCGCAGTCCTTTCCCCTCACGCCTACCGACATGATGTTTGCCGCTGTGATGGCCTTGAAGGCATACTCTGTCCGAATTGTCAGTCGCTACTCCATGGTTCCTATGCTGGGTTACGAAGCCAGCCCCTCGGCATTCGTCGATCGCTGGCATAGGATGTGGAATATGACGCACCGACTTGGTACAGGCGACCATTGTCGGCAAAGATGGTAATGTGTCGGTCGTATGCGCTCGCTGCGATGGCACCACCGTTAGCGAACAGTCCACGGCTGACGTCAAGCTCCGGCCTCTGGAGGTTTCGACGCACCAGACATTGTGTGAAGTGGGTGGCCCTGATCAGGGCAGTCTGAACCGATGAATTCGCTGAGGCTTCCGAGGCGGGTTCTTGAGTGATGTTGCGGAGAGGAGTAGTGCTTGGAGGTAGAGCGGATGGCGACGACCAGATGGAGCTCGACGACAGGGACGCGTTACGTTAGCTGGAGCTTGCCTGGAGCCGTAGGTTGCAGGTGGAACCTCATTGGCGGATGCTCGGAAGGCTGATGTTCTGCCTCGTCAGGGCGGTTTCGGCCTGAGGCATGAATACCGACCCGCCAAATTCCCTGCCTGGGCAGCCTGGTCTCACAACGTAGCTTAGCTTGTGTCTGCCAAAAAAGCTCCTGCATCTGTTTACCCACTTCTGCACGGGGGTTGATGCCCAATCTCATCTTTGGCTCGTCCTCACACGGCACTGGCCATTCCATTCAGACATCACTGGCGTCATCCCTCTTACCCAGCCACTTCAAGGCGAGCGTATTAGTTGTCATCGCCAAACAGAGGATCCGTGCGAATCAGTTAGACTGAGGATATCAAAGAAGAGTTCGAATTGCAAGCCAGAATCAGCGTGGGGCATCCCTGTCCCTGAGGCCGTCACTAAAAGCGGGAGGCCCCGTCCAGGGAAAAAAAAGCTGCCCGAACCAGACTCTGAGGCAAGACCTTCTCACCACAACCCACGGCTTCTATCGCTGCACGGCAATAAAAGTGAGGCGCACCAGTCTGGACGGTGCACTCCGACGAGAACAGGGCTTCGCTGCAGCACAGGGAGCAGACGCTGCAGATCTTGACCTGCTTGCGACGTGATCTGACGACGACTCAGCCAACAACCAGGGCGGCGCACAGCGTCCATTCCTCACCCTCGCCTCAACTGCCACAGGAAAATTTCGACTAGAAGACTGCCCGATCGAGCCCAACATGATGTCGTCCACCGAGCGTACGGCGTCACAGCGCGTGCCAGCTTGGAAACGATTGGGCCTAAAGCTCAAGGGGCCTACTGCTGCACCCGAGCCCGCACCGGGCGGCACCCCGGCAGTTGGGCACCCAAGCAGCACCCAGCACAAGAGTCACTCGAACAAACGAAAACTCGACGCCCCGCCGGGTTCCGAGCCCTCTCTGGATATTAAAAAGCCTCGCAGGGAGGCCGACGATGGAAATGCCGAGCCGAAAAAGAAGACCAAGTCTGTTTCGTTTGGAGACACTCCGACAAAGAACGGAAACCCTCCAACCACCAACGGCGACACCACCAAGCAGCCGTCCAAGCAGAAACAGCCCCAGCAACCCAAGAAGAGCAAGGGGCCTGCCAAGAAGCAGAAGCCCGCACCCCCTTTGGACCTCGCACCCGCCCTCCAGTACCTGCAGCAGTGGAAGACGTCACGCGATAGCTGGAAGTTCAACAAGAATCAACAAAGCGCCCTCATCAAGCACGCATTCGACTCTGACGGCATTCCTGCCGCTGACATTGGCGCCTTTTATGAGTACATCAGAGACTTGAAGGGATTCGTCAGGACGAGGCTGCGTGAGACTGCCATGGAAATAAGGACAAAGGACGACGCGGACCGTGCGTCTGCGTTCCCGGCGGGCACGTCGGATGTTGAAGCCAAGCAAATCAGCTACGAAAAGCTGCTCAACGACCTTCTGCGAACCTCACAAGGTGGTCAGAAACGAAAGGGGTACAACGAAGTGGAGTACGTTGCTTCAGCCGAGGACCCAGACATTGTCATCCGCCGTCTGGTGAAGCGCATGCGCGCCGAAATGATCATCGATGAGCTTTCGGATGGCGAGCAGACGGATGACAGCCGCACGACCCAGTCGTCGGAGACCATAGTCACCAGCGACACCAACACAGCCAGGGGCTCCGGGACAGACAAGAGGCTAAGGCTCAACGACGGCACTGGCAAGCGGAGGCGGAAGCTGCGTGTCAACATGGACGACAGCAGCAGCTCCGAGTCGGAGTCGGAGTCGGACTCGGACACAAGTAGCGACAGCTCCTCAGACGAGTCTGACGACGATGAGGAGGATTCGGTGGATGCCAAGTCGGTCGATGGATATGACTCGTCAAGTAGCTCCTCATCTTCGTCGTCCGAGGACGACTCTGACTCGGAGTCGGATTCAAACGACGAAGAGAGCGATGATGACGAGTAGGGCTGCGGTGGCCAGCGCTTTGTACACGATGCGAGTTTGTGAGGGACAAGAGCTGGACGGCATAGACTGTACCATTTTGCGGCTTGTCATGAGTCGGATTCAGATACCCAGGTTTCATGTAGGCCAGAACACCCTATGGGGTTGGCCAAGTCAACTTGTATAGACATAGCTTAGATATAGACACACGTCGCTTGGAAACGCTTCCCCACTGCCACTGACGCTTATATGATGTTCATCGGCTCCGCATCTTAGATCCATAGCTGGCCCGCGCCGCAAACCAGTCCTTAGGCGTACAATTTTGTGAACCCTTCTGCCGGGGGCTGCAGCCAGTTGCGCTTGTCGTAGTTGGTACCTTCCCACTCGATGATGTGGAATGTGTAGATTATCCTCCCCTTCTGGCTGGTGTTTCTCTCGCTCTTATGCAGCAAATTGCCATGGATGAGCACCAGATCCCCCGCCTTGACCTCGCCAGGCACATAGGCCGCTGCATCGCCCTCCCCATTCGCGCCCTCCTGCTGCTGCTGCTGCTCTTGCGCACCGCTCGCGCCGGGGAACCGCGGCCCGCCATTGTCCACCATCTCGGTGCCCGCGTCGCCGGGCTTGCGCACGAGCCGCTTCCCCACGGGCGCCCAGCGGTGCGACCCAGGCAGGAAGCTCAGGCAGCCGTTCTCGAGCGTCGCGTCCTCGAGCGCGTACCAGAAGCCCACGGCCGAGGGCGGGTCCGTGTACAGAAACGTCGAGTCCTGGTGCGGCGGCACGGCGCCCCCGATCTCGGGCTGCTTGCAGATGACCATGCTCTGCAGGCAGCGCGGATCGCGGAAGCCGAGCGAGCGTGCCACCGCCGCGGGACTCACCTGCTGCTTGGCGGCCTGCTCTTGGTCCTTATCGTCGGCACCATCGGGGAGGAGCAGCGCCTTGAACGGCGGACTCAGCGCATGCAGCGCGTGCCCGATCTTGTTGACCGCGCGCTCCTTGTCCTTGGTCAAGTTGCCGGCGTCGTCAAAGGCGTCCTCCTCGAAGAAGAAGCGCACCTTGTCCCCCGACGTGAGGAAGTAGTCGTCGCCGACGTGGTCGCTCTTCTCGCCCGTCGAGAAGCGCGTCAGCGGGTGGTCGGCCAGGGAAAAGGACGACAGCAGCCGGCGCGTCTCGGCGAGGAGGCCGGCCACCGTGTCGGGCCGCAGGGCGCCGGGGATGATGAGGTAGCCGTCGCGGTCGAAGCTGGCCAACTGCGCGGGCGTGAGGCCGGCCATGGTGGTGCGCTGCCGTCCCAACTTCCGAGGAAAAGAAAAGGGGTGAGTATGTACGGGCTTTCGGGTCCGAGCTTCGAGTCAAGTACTCTCGATATCGAAAAGTAGGTTCTCCGTATAAGCACTCCGCAACTGAGAGCAAATATACAGTGGGACAAGAGGTTGAAGTTCACGGGAGGCGCCGATAAGGCGGGGTGGAGGGTCGGCATGACAAGGCCCCGCCTCCCACCCACACGGTGCAGCTTGGCATCCGGTGCTACCCCAGGTATCATTTCACCATCATCGGTCATTTCTTTTCAGGAACAGTCAAAGCTACGTTGACCGGTCTTGCTTGAACGTGATATCAATATTGATTTCAGTGCTATCGTTGCGGCGCACCAACTCCACAGAGCCCAGCTCTCCTGTTGCGCTAACCTGAATAACGTAAATGCCAAAGAGGCGGTCCATAACGCCGTACCCGTTTATACCGCCGCGCGATTCACGCGCTGGCTATTAAGGAAATGTATCGATTATAGCAAAGAAACGAACACACACAGCCAAAGGTCTGGTCACCACGCCTCGTGCCTAAGCATCGAGCGGATCCTCCAAGAACTCGTAGCCCTCTTCCGGCGGCAGCACATAGGCCGAGATGGCCAGGCCCACGGCGGAAAGGAGGGCAATGGCGGCACTAACGGTGCTCAAATACCACGAATAATCGAGACTCCATCCGGGAATCGTAAACTGGTCGTCGTTATCGAACAGATACGCCTGCGTTGCTTGTCAGCTTGGCTCTCGGTTACAGGGCTGCAACAGCAATACGTACCACGATGGAGATGATGACGAATTCCACAGCTGCCACCAAGGCCAGTATGCCGCTCACGATGGGCCAGCCCGTCTCGCGCTTGTACTTGCCGCCTCGCATGATGACGCCAAACGTCACGAGGCAGGCAAGACACAGGATGGTCGCGAACGACGCCATGAAGCCGATGGTTCGCCACATCGAACAAAAGTATCGCTCGCCATCCTGGCACAGCTCCGCGAGAGGAAAGTCACGACACGAAGGCGAGTCGAGGCTGGAGCAGCTCTTGTGCAGGCCGATGTGCTTCTCGAAGCGCTCGCCTTTGGGCGTCGTGACGGAGTACGTGACCCAGTTGGGGGTGACGATGGAGGCTATGATCATTCCCGTGGCTGTCGCGTAAAAGAAAATGTCAGCCTGAGGCCTGCAAGGCATGTTTCCGGGTCTCTGCGCGCGCGCGCGCCAAGCCCGCAGGCGGGGGACATCGTGACGGTCGCGGGCCGTGACGCAGCCCAGGCGGCGACGACGTCATTGGGCTCGGACGGAAGAGGGCAGACGTACCGGCAACAAATGCCACCAGGACGGAGGAGTAGATGGACACGCGGGTCATGGTTTGCGAACGCGCGGCGCGGTTGAAGACACGTTTGGTCGCGGGTTGCGGATGGCGAGAGAAGAAGCCAGCGAGGCGGGCGATGGTGGCATCAATGGAGGCGCAGCTTTCCGGGTTGAGGAAGAGCTGGGGGTGCAACTGAACTAAGCCGCGGTGGGTGGTGGTGCTGAATCTGCCTGCTGATGGTGGTGGTGGGAGGACGCCAATGGAAGCCCCGTCTCCAACAATGGAGCGCCGACGGCCAGCGGGCCGCGTTGGGAAGTCGGCGCCAAACCCCCACTGCCTGAAAGTCGCTGCCTGCAGTCGCTCCACGTAACCGCCTTGGGTTCGCTGGAACCAATCCCAACAGACTGCGTAATCATGCATGTGTAAGTGAGGCACGGTTCTTTGCGTCTGTAATATGTATTGTCAGTTAAGCAGCCATTCACGCCAGCCCGCTCTGGCCCAATCCGGATCGGGATCTATTCACGGACTGGCAAGAACGACCGCCCCCCGTCAGCACCTGCCCGGTTATTTCCCAATGCTTAAAGTGCTGTCAGTTTGACACATCTCGGCCGTCGTCTCAAACTGCCTCTATGCGTCACTTGACAACTACAACACACCCTTCAAAAGCCACCTCCCATGTCTGTTCGTTCTGTTGGCAGAGGCCGTTTCAGACCCGCCGACCTGCAGAGTCTCAAGCCCCATCAAGCTGCCGGCAGCCACCCGCGGCCCGATCTGGCGTCGCACCACGCCTGATGTCGTCGCCTTGCGCATGGGCTTGGTCTGCCCTGCCTTGCAGCTTGCGCGGCGTGACAGGCTCTACCAATGGCACTCTGTTATCAAGATGCATGCACTTCCACACAAACATTAGGAAAGCAGCTCTCTTCCAGTCATGGCAATCGTCGCCGAAAGCCTCGCTGAAAGGGGTACCATCCCGAGCTCGCACACGACACGGCTTGATCCGGGAGTCCACAAAACCCCACGACCATGCGACTCTGCCAGAAACTGTCTATCAGAACATGTAGCGGAACGTGACCGCCTTGTCACCCCGGGCGGACAGCTCCTCTGGGGTGGATTGCTCCATCGCCCCTGCGGCTAGCCGCCTCTCGCGCCGTCGATTACTCGCCCTGTAACCTATGATGAGAATCACAATGGCGATGATTCCCAGGATCTCGAACCCCAATGATATCCCGTGGCCCATGGCATATCGGGGCGCATCCCGTTTCCTGTAAAAGTTGGCTGCCAATGCCTGTGCAGACTATCAGCCGGCAGGAACAAGCAAGACCGAGGCGCAAAACACTTACACCACCGAGGTTGCCCGCTCCAATCTGAAGCGCCATGCCGACGCCGCGCTTGTAGCTGCCTGCTAGGTTGTTGGACAGCCAGGAGATGATACCGGGGAACGCTGGATACAAGCCGCAGGCCCCGAGGAAGACGCCTCCGTAGACAACCTTGGGATCGCCTGAACCAATACACCTTGAGACGACAATCAGCCAAGATTCACGTACTGGGGCGATACCTCATCAACGTCTAAGAGCATACGCACATGGAGAAGCCAAGGACCGCGATGGTCATGAAACCCAGCACGAACGGGCTCCGCTTGCCGGCCTTGTCCGAGCACCAGGCGCTGACGACCGCAAGTACGGCCGCCGCGGTGTAGATGGGTACCGTCATGAGCTGCGCCATACTGGAGGTGAATCCGAGCGCTTTGATGATGGTCGGCATGAACAAGCTCAAACCAGCCATCGGACACGAGATCTGGGCAAACACCCGCGTTAGCACCACTGGAGACAGCGTGCGGCACCTCTGCACTTACACCCCAGAGTACAATGATGTTGACCCAGATCTGCCAGTCTTTGAACGCCTGCCAGACATAGTCCCACTTGAACTCTTCGGCCTGCGCCACCACCATGGGAGCAGCGCCGTCCTTGGCGACCATGATTTTTTGACCTTGATACCTGAGTCTGTGCACCACAAAGGCTCGCTCCTCCTCAGTCAGAAACTCGGCCGTCTCGGGGAAGTCATAAAGGCAGAAGAAGGCGATCACAGCGACCGCACAGGTCACGATGCCCTCTAGGATGAAGATCCATCGCCAGCCCTCGAGGCCGCCCACACCGTCCATTTTGCCGATCCCAAACGCCAGAAGCCCGCCAAAGGCCCCGGCGACGGACGCGGCGGAGAAGAACAGGGCTTGGCGCAGTTGAATCTCATGCCGACAATACCACATGGTCAGGTAGTACTATAGACATACGGAATTTCATCAGCCCACTGGAAAGCGACGATGTCTCACGCGACCCAGTCGCGGCCTGCAACAATGAACCGGTCAGATCAACTTACGGCCACTCCTGGAAAAAGTCCAGCCTCGGACACACCAAGAAACACCCGTGCAATCAGCAAGCCGGTATAACTCCTCACGATGCCCATCAAAGTCGCCACGATGCCCCAGCAGACCATGATGAATGGCAGCCAGCGACTCGGTCGAAATCGTTTGATAAGGATATTGCTGGGGATCTCGAAGACGACGTAGGTGAAGAAGAAGGCGGTGAGACACCAGTTATACTGGTCGTCGGTCATGCCGAGGTCCTCTTGCAGGCCTTCTATCTTGGCGTTGCCAATGTTGGCTCCTGGACGCTGTCCGTCAGCACCTCGATAGCTGATCGGGCCCGGCAACCTGACATACTATCAAGAAAGGAAAGAAGGTACAGCAATGCCAGCATCGGGATGAGAAAAACGTCCATCTATTGAGGGCGTTAATGACCCTGGACAGGTCTCGCGCGCGTCTGGGGCAGCTCACTTTTCTCAAAACCTTTCCCTCGTCAATGTGTGAAAACCGACTTGGGTCATAGAGATCGGCAGCCGCCCCGGTCTTGCCGTCCACATGGCTGACACTTGGGTTCAGAGTCGGGTCAGACGCAGTCTTTTCCGAGGGCGTGTCCGTGTCGTACGGGGAGGCCACGAGGGCTTGCGGTGATCCCACAGGAGGAGTCATGTTTCTCGCAATATGCTGTTGATGCGACATGCCTTGACGAGACTGTGTCCGAGGACGAGCACCAAAGTTTCAAGCATACCGCGAAGAAACCTCTGCGCCACGACAAGGGCTCTCATTATAACCACGCCATGCTCACTCCTTTCGCTATGTCCTTTAAGTCCGAAGCCATGTACGGGCTACACCGGCAGAGACAGAGACTGAGACTGAGACTGCAGGCAGTGCCGAAGGCTCATCATTTCGGCAGTGTTGGTTCCACTAAATAAGATTGGTCGATAGGGCGCCTCTGCCGCGGCCTGCCCGTAGTGGTCCGGCTCACCGGGTCACGGGAAGAGCCGCTCAGTGGATAGAATCGTCTAGACCTCTGAGCTAGTCGGCCAACGCGGACGACGTACAGTTCTTTCGTTATGAAGACGGGGCGTGGGTGTTTGGGTGGTGCACTAGTCTTCAGTGGTGGTAAGGAGACCGTGGTCGGCGGCAGCCGGTCTCGACGCGATGTTGATATCAATGGCACAGACGAGACTTTGTGCTTCCGTCGGCAAGACCGAATCGAGCCGTATACGCTGCATCCTACAAGGCAATAAAAGCGGTCTACGAAGTTGCAAGTCACTGTCTGTCCACGACACACGGCGTGACACATCTTGGCCCGTACCTGCGGGAGAGCCGTGAGGGTTAAGGCATTACAACGTACGTCTCATTCTGCATACCGCATTCCCGGGCTCCTCCCGAGAATCAGTCAAAGCTTCTCCGCAGATGTCTCTGCCTTGGCCCCCGTGTGAGGAAGTGGACTCCGCGTTCCATTGCGGCGCTCGGCAGCAACGGGGGGATTAGACTACGTATCACCAGCCGCGCGACGGGTCGGGTAGTGTCACCTCCGGTAACGCCTTTGGGGCTTCTATCCCTTGGACAAACTGGAGGGCTTTCTTTCTTGGCGCGTTTTCTTTAATGGGGACAAGCCGCGAGATGGCGAGCCTTGGTGTTGAGAAGCAGCCCCAGGGTGGTGTGGCGGGGTATAAGTTCAGGAATGGAGTGCGGTTTTCTGTTGTGGCATCAATGTCAGTCTCGATTATCCGACCCGATTTGGTCCACAGATCAGATATCTGTCAGGCTCTGACGCTGGAAGACCTTTGCTTTTTTTTTTTTTTTTTTGCTGTGTGATGCTTGGCTCAAGTACACGTATGCTAGCACATCTCGGGGAATTGCACAGCTTCAGCTCGGCATGAGCGGGTTACCTCCCGTCACGGGAGAGATGACCGGCCGCTTCCTTGGGAAACCTCACGGTCTGGCCCAGCAAGGAGGAGAGAGACAGGCCTCGAACTCCCCCTACCTATTCTTGGCAACATTGGGTCTGATTCAAGCAGCCCGGTGACCACCTCTTCACGTATATATACAGGACCTTGAGCAAAAAAAGAGTCAATCGTCAAGCATGTCTCTGTTCGGATTGCGTCCGTGACTCCGGAGGCGGGCCTGGACTGTTCTGTCCCCCGGAATTCGGCCCCCGGCCTGCTAACATCAGCGGCGTCCCCACTCCCACGAGCTGCAGCTGCGCTAAAGATTAATGCCCGAACCGCCCGTCACCACCCGCGTCCGCGTCCACAGCCGTCCATCCGCTGTCGCAGCTCGGCAGCTCCACCAGCTCGCTGTGCCGTGCCCCTCCGCGTCCCCGCGCGCAACCTCATCCCGGATTCACACTGCTCTCATCCTCTCTTTTATACACATCTAGATGTGTATAAGAGACAGGCCCGACACCACCACCCTGTCACCCCGCTGCTCCGTTCGCGCTTCCTCGCCCGCACCATGGCCTCCTCCTCCGCTCCCCCGCCGGTGCTCAAGCAGCCCGTCAAGCTCGCCTGCATCCAGCTCGCCTCGGGCGCCGACAAGGCCGCCAACCTGCGCCACGCCGCCGAGCAGGTCGCCGCCGCGGCGCGGTCCGGCGCCCGCATCGTCGTCCTGCCCGAGTGCTTCAACTCGCCCTACGGCACGCAGTTCTTCCCGCGGTACGCCGAGACGCTGCTGCCCTCGCCGCCGCCTAAAGACGCGGATGCCGCGCCCTCGTTCCATGCCCTCGCCGCCATGGCCGCCGACAACGCCGTCTACCTCGTCGGCGGGTCCATCCCCGAGCGCGACCCGGACCCCGCGTCGGGCAAGTTCTACAACACGAGCCTCGTCTTCGGCCCGGACGGCAAGCTGCTCGATACCTTCCGCAAGGTGCACCTCTTCGACATCGATATCCCCGGCAAGATTACGTTTCGCGAGTCCGAGGTCCTGAGCGCGGGGAACAAGATCGCCCTGGTCGATTTGCCCGAGTACGGCACCATCGCCGTCGCCATCTGCTACGACGTCCGCTTCCCAGAGCTAGCCACCATCGCCGCCCGCAAGGGCGCTTTTGCCCTCATCTACCCGGGCGCCTTCAACCTCACCACGGGAGACCTCCACTGGAAGCTGCTCGCCCGCGCCCGCGCCATCGACAACCAAATATACGTGGCCATGTGCAGTCCCGCCCGAGACATGTCCGCCACCTACCACGCCTGGGGCCATAGCATGATTGTCGACCCCATGGCCAAGGTGCTGGTCGAGGCCGACGAGAAGGAGACCATTATTGAGACGGAGCTCACCGGCGACGCCATAGCCGAGGCGCGGAGGAACATTCCCCTTAACACGCAGCGGCGGTTCGACGTCTATCCCGACGTGAGCCAAGGAAAGATACAATTCGAAGAGCCGAGCTCATAAGACGCAAGCCGTACAAAAAAGAGAGGTTATCGAGGAAAGAACATCATGCATCGGGGATCGAGGCCCCGGATGGAGTCAGCGTCGGATTAACCATGATAAGGAAAACTTGTGGTGTATGTCGCTTTCTGCACCATAGACATGTGGCTAGAGTTCACTACGGTCACCATCGGCCTTTTATGTCTAGAGATCGGCACATCTCGATTGTGGGCGTATAAAGTCGTCATTCACTTTTCCTATCCTTTTTGCCGTCGTGCCATTCACGCAAGATGCTTGCTCGCGTGGGCTAACATCTATTCCCTTTCCTCCACCGTACCCAGACCTCGCTCGTAGACAAAACGGCTCCCGCCGACAAACCAGTCTCCTATTGCAGGGCCTTCTTGGCAAATGTGGGCAGGATGAAGCTGGCCTTGTGGATCTCGGCGTTGTAGTAGCGGCACTTCTTCTCCTCCTCCTCGGCGGTCCACTGGCGCACGGGCACGCGGACGTTGCGGTTGGGGTCCTTGCAGCAGACCATGAAGCCGATCTGGCCGGAGGGGTAGGTGGGGATGGTGGTGTAGGCGTACTCGGCGACGGGGAAGATCTCCTTGCAGTCCTTCTTGAGCTGGGTGATGAGAGGCAGGTGAAGCCACTGGTTCTCAGCTGTTGGACAAGAGAGTGGTCAGCAAATGGTTCATCACGGGGTTCGCTAGGACGCATGAGCAGCAAAAGACCAAGGAGCGCCTGTGCAAAAGCCGAGACGGCGGCAAGAGGCCGCCGTGACAGCGGATGGCACGTCGGTGCTCGGATGCAACACGGGACTACCGGAAGCAGGGCTGTCGGGAAAGCAGCACTAGCCTCGGGCAGTCCCTAGGATACGAGGGGCATCTCCCGGAGAGAGGGATGCCCGTTGACAACCAGGAGGCCGACGGCTTTTCCGCCAAGCCCAGGTTCCCACACGCTGCCGTTCCTAGGGACCCCACTACTTTCCGCAAGAAAAATCGAGACATACAACCTTGGGTAGAGATGACGCCGCCCTCGCGGAGGGCGTCGTGGAGAAGCTGGAAGTAGGGCTTCTTGAAGAGCGACTCGGCGGGACCCTCGGGGTCGGACGAGTCGGTGATGATGACGTCGAAGCTGTTCTTGTAGTCGTCGAGGAACTTGAAGCCGTCGCCGATGTGGACGGTGCTCTTGGGGTGGGTGAGGCCCTCGGCCATGTTGGGGAGGAACTGCTTGGAGAGGCGAATGACGGCCTCGTCGATGTCGCAGAGGGTAGCCTCTTCGACGCAGTCGTGCTTGACGACCTCGCGGAGGACGCCGCCGTCACCGCCGCCGATGACGAGAACCTTCTTGGGGTTGGGGTGCGAGTTCAGGGCGAGGTGGGCAATCATCTCCTGGTAGGAGAACTCGTCGCGCTCGGTGCACTGGATGACGTTGTCGAGGACGAGGACGGTGCCATAGTCGGTGGACTTGAAGACGAGCACGTCCTGGTACTTGCTCTTCTCGTGGTGGAGGACCTTCTCGACCTTGAGGGTCATGGCCTGGCCTGTGGACGGGGTATGAGTGCCGGGGCCTGGATGTGACAGTGGACGGGGTTCTTACCGGGCCACATGTCCGAGATCTCCCGGAACCAGCCATCTGCACGATGTGTCAGTCACAAACTTGAGATTGGTCGACAGGCGAGAAGGCGATGCGATGGCTGGCTGCGCGGGCTATTGCTTGCTTGGGCGACACAGGCTCCGGGGGGCGCTGCTGCTCGCCCGCGACGCCATTGAGTCGACTGCAAGCAATTCCCATGATATACGACGCATCACATCGGCCAGAATGGGAGCGTGCCGAAGACACGTCTCAATTGCGGCCGGGGAGTCGTGTGACGTCGCCCAGACGCACGACGATGATGTATTTTTTTTTCTCGGCCGCCGGCGGGGATGGAGGGGCAACGGGCGGCCAGCCAGCCTTCGCAACGCGGGGTCAAACTTGGACGGATGGACTCACCCTTGATGGTGGGGTGTGTGATTTCAGACATGTTGTTGGGCGGTGGTGAAGAGGCGGCAAGAGTCGAGAATGGCGCGCTCGGGTCGGGTATCACAAGTGTTGCGGTGAGGCGGGAAGAAGAGAAGGGGAAAGGGTTGGAAGAAATAGCAAACGTCGAGGGGTCGATGGCTGCTGCCGAATGCAGAGGCGATGGTGGGGGAAACTTTTTCCAGAGAGCCGGAGCCTGAGCTGCAGCGACGAGTGGGGCCAGAAAATTTGGCGGCGTCCGCGGGCGCGTCCCCACGACGGCCTCCCTCATCAGGCACCACCACCCCCAGCACCGCCGGCCAAGCATCGTCATGCCGCTGCCCGTCGTCATCGCTCCTGTGCAGCCATGCACTACCTCTGGTCTGAAACAGTCAACACACGCCGCTGCAGGTGTCCGGACAGCAGCACCGCCGAGGAGGCGTCGCTCGCAGCACGCAGCACAAGACTCGATGACGGTCCAGCACGGTTGCACTCGGTGTTTGCAAGAGCATCGGCTGCGGTCCGTCGGGCAGCAGTGGCGGCGGCCCCGTAATGAGCTTTAGTCGCCACATACAGTTAGACTCCGACCCCATCCACCGGCTCCGTTGCCGATGTCCGCCGCGCCGCCGTGGAGCTCTCCAGAGGACGGACGGATGGCCAACGCCCTCAGTCTTCTCACTCTCCAGCGTTCCGCGTGCTCGTCTTAGGATCCGCCAAGCATCGAGCCAAGCCGGGCAAAGAGCTGACTCGGAACACAGATTGGTCGTCTTGCGTCTGCCAAAGAAAGCCTCGCAGCGCGGTGTCACACCGGGCTGCGTGACAGGCCGAGTCCCCCCTGTTGCATAAAGCATGAAGCACACCGCATGCACGATCCGTCCAGCTACTGCCTTCCCGCTGCCGCGCCCGAAAAGGGCCATCTCAGCTTGTGCCTGTCAGATCTCGGCTGTGGCTTGCAGCTGGCGGACAAACCATCGTCTGGGCAATGGCGCGGGCCCGCCACAAACCTCGATCGCTGCCGGTCCACAAGCCCGTGGAACATGCACATGTACGCTTCCTACAAGACATTACGTACGGAGTCACCAGGTGGCAGGTCGCGGCTCGCTCTCCTGCCACTTTCTCCCCGAGACAATGGCGTCGTCACCTGATCGCCTTTGTGCATCGCATCAACAGAATCCTCGCGGTGCCTGGTCGTCGACCTTTTGTCTCTGATCCTCTTGTCAGGGCAGATGAGTCGCCTCAACGTGACGAGTTGGCACTCTGATAGCTCTTCGATGTCGGTAGGCTCAGCATCTCCACCTTATGCACCGGCGGCAGGCGGCTTCCGTGTTCAGCTCCCCCAGCCAGCCTTGGTGCGCGTATCCTCTCCAAAATCATCGCCAGATGCAACATGACCCCGTCGTGAGGAAAGAGGTTCCTCCGGTATCTTTGCCTCGTCACATCGTCGTGCAGCAAGCCTCCGCTCATCCCTTCTACCATTCAACTCTGCCTGTGGCATCTGATGTCTCTGTGTCCGTGGCTGGCTAAGGCATCAAGCTCAAACACCCCATGCATGGGTTGTGCATGCGTCGCCTGCTGCTGCTGCTACGAGCAGCCGTATCTCCCCATCTTATTGATTGATGTTTCAAGACTCGCCGAGCTCGGGTCGCGCTTGAGGCCACATCGTGGCGTATGCTGTGTAACGCGGAGACGGGATGTGACGACCGCTCCGCACGATGCCTGCCTCGAGCGGCAACGGCTACGTTTCCGCCATCAGCTGAGAGCAACTTGACCGCCGAGCCTAGCTATGGGCATATCTTCAGCTCTGCAGAGGCTGCAGTCGAGCTCCAGATTCAGAAGTCGCATCATGCTATGCAATTGCTATTGGATGCTTCCTCAAGCCGCTTGAGACACGCCTTTGGCAGTTAGGCAATCTATGTCCCCCCGGCGAAATAAAGACTTGTTAGGTGCAAGGCCCATCGGCACGAGATACGTGGCGTCAGTGGCCTGGTACTGAGTTTTCAAGTTGCCCAGCTGTGCCACAAAGAGACTGTGACGGAGAGACAGCTTGATCGACATGCCGTGCAGTGGACTGCCTCATCGGGGGTTCAGGAGAATACAGGCTATCTAGGGAGACAGTTCTCAGGCCTGGCGACGTCTATATAAGGGCGACACTTCTCTCTCCTCCAACACCCGGTTTCTGCTCTTCGCCATCGAAGCGAGAGAGGCGAACCACTACAACGCCAACGCTTTCCGCCAGCCGTCCTCGTTTCTCAATCCACGTAGGTAACACACCGCTCATTGGATTCAAGGAATGTCATTGACATCCTGTTAGATCGCAGCTACGAGACATCAGATTCGCATCAGTAAACCTTCTTGCAGCATCGCCTCATCCGCTTGGCAATGATGCAGACGCGGGCAAAGAAAGGTGCGGTCCGCGCCGACTCGCCCATCCTCTACAGCGCCAGCGTCGCGCCCGGTGCGAATCAGTACTACGGCCAACTGGTCGTGACCAACCTCCACCGAGAAGACAGCTCCGCCATCACCATCAGTGAATTCCTCGGCGTCGAATTTCGTTCACCTGCCCCGCTCAAGACCACGGACTTCTGGGCCACGACAACACCATGGGTTGAGATCACGCCTGAGATAACCAGCACGCAAATCGACACGGACGTCTTCATCATCACTGCTAAGCTGTACATCTCGGGCGGTTTCACATTCAAGACCGGCGACATCTTCAACTGGGGCATCAACGGCGACCTGACCAAGGATCCAGGCAGCTGGACCTCCTCCTTCGCCTTTGAGGTCGACGCTCTGCCCGATACCACCGGCATCGTCAGTGTCAAGGTCGCCGAGGCTCCGGACCCTGCCTTGTCGTCGTGTGAGCAAACGGTGACCTTTACGCAAGGCCAACTGGTCCAGACCGTCAAGGCACTTCCAGCCGCGACCATAGAGGAAAAGATCCATACTGGCACCTACGCTGTCACCGCGCCGGACCTTGCCACTGAAGACGAGACTACTGTGGCTGCCGCCCAAGTCGACCCCACCTCTGTCACGGTCGTGTCGAGCGAGACCACAGATGTCGCGGTCACATATGGCGAGGTCTCCAAGTACAGCGCCATCGATGTGATTGTCGGCGACCTGCCCGAGCTTTCCGACGAGCAACTTCACGTCACCATCAGCGACCAGAGCGGCGGTCCCCCCATTGCCGACTTTACTAGCTCCGTCAACAAGACAACCTCGCTTCGCCGACTGCCAGCGGCAGGCATCGCGACCGTTTCGGTCGATCCCATCGTGCTCAACAACGTGGAATATTCGTTCAACGTCCAGGTCCTCGAGCTGTCGAGCAAGCTGTTTCAGGTCTCTTTCACCGAGAAGAACTTGACAGTAAAGCCGATAGATACCACCGGCTTTGTGGAACTCCCCATTGAGGTATCGACGGACCTGTCGCTGTCGTCGACCATCCAGGTGCGCCTTGTTTCCGACGCTGGCACGTACACTCAGACGGTCCCTGCCGAGTCTGGCTCAACCGAGGTTGCCGTGCCTGTGGCCCCTGGCACATACCAAGTCACGGCACCTGGCTTCTTGCAAAGCGGCACAGTCTACTTTGTGCATGGCCCATCGTCGCTAGATGTCGCCAGCGACGGGAGCACTGCTCTCCAGTTGACGCTCACCAAGGGCGCCAACCTGCTGGTCCGCGGCTTCCCCGACTTCCTGAGCTTCGGAGGGTGCAGCGACCTCACGCCCGGCAACCAAGCCGACTTCGTGGCCGCGAGGACCACTTCCATATTCAAGTACGCAGGCGTCGACGGAGCTGGCGATCCGGGCAGCAACCTCCCCGACGACCAAGCTACCAAGCAGACTATTGCCCTGGCCCGGAAGATTGAGGCTGAACTGGGTGAGGGTAACTCTGTGCTGCCCGTCATGATCTCCTACACATGCAATCTTTCTCTGGGCGACATCACGAAGCAGCTGTCCAACGTCACGGCGCTCGCCAACAGCTTCGGCAACTACATCCTGTCGCTGACCATCGCTAAATCCAACATAGACGCGGATCACCCCGTGCCGGCGGGCTACGTCGTGAACCCGGACTTCATCGGCGCGTGCCAGCAAGAGAAGATCAGCGCCGACTACGCCATGCCCGTGCGGGAGCCTCTACAGACGGCCCTCGACTTCCGTCAGATCCCCGGCACGATCCCCGAGGACATTGAAGACAACGTCCGCGGCTACGTCCAGGCGGTCAACTGGCTCACCAGGGTCGTCGCCCCGGAGGTCACCTTTGGCTGGCAGGTCAACCTCTGGGGCGTCGGCTCCGCCAACTGGATGTACGGGTTCGACGACGAGCCCGCGGTCAACGCCAAGGCGACGGCCGACTACGTCAAGTCGCTGGGCGTCTTCGACGGCAACGATTCGCCCGACTTCCTGGCCGTGGACCGGTACGAGGCCGACGACTTCACGGTCCGCTCTTACGGCAACAGCTACTGCTACGGCCCGAACGAGTGGCCGCGCTTCTTCGACTTCTGCCAGGCCCTCGGCGAGGCCCTAGTCGCGCCCATCATGCCGTGGCAGATCCCCGCGAGCCACACCCCCAACATCAACGACGCCGTCAATGACGACTTCGACTCGCAGCACTGGGGCACGGGCGGCACCTACATCTTCGGGGACGCGGCCATCGGCTCCGACATCGGCAACGTCAACCACAAGCTCCTCGCCTTCGAGTTCCCCGTCTACTACCCCTTCATGGGCAAGACGGTCGAGGACATATTCACCCGCGGCGAGCCCTTCAACTGGACGCCCGCCGCCCTCACCGACTTCCCGCTCAAGGGCATCTTCACCGTCCTCCTCGGCGGCGGCTCCACCACGGGCATCGTCTCGAGCATCGGATGCCCGGACTCGTTTGTGCGCGACAAGCTCCACGCGTACATGGAGAACCCCATCCGCCTGGACTGATCTGAGCCGACGGGTCTGGACTCGCAGCGGTTAGTATGCCCGCTGATGCTGACTGCGGTAGTATGCGCCTCACGCGACCCCGCTCTCTTCGAAAGGGGCAAGCGAAGGCTATAGTATTTGCAGGACGAGAACGCACTGGAATGAGTCTCGAAGAGGCTCGAAAGGGCCAAGGGGTTTTGAGGGATTACTTTCTTTGAACTGCTATTCGCGAACCAACTTGTCGTCAGCTCCTTAACAACACCAACACGATGCAATCCTTGGCACGCACGTGGCGATTTTGGTAACATTGGCCGTCTGACACGTGTGCATGGTCTGATTCCAATCTTATTGCTGATGCCATCTGACGGTTGCCCGATCTCCGTAACAGATACACAATGCGCCATGTCCACGCCGCGAACCGGCTGCGCTCGTACACGCACCGCGCAACTTACTGCGACTGAATGTCGCTTGCCCACTCTCCTCTGCCGGGGCGTTGCTCGATCGTAAGACCAGCTAGACAACTTGATAGGGAGCTACTCCGCAACGACTCAACGACTTGGCGAGGGTGATGGCATTTAAAGAGCGACGACCCCCTAGCTCCAAGATGAGTGTCATTTTCACCAAACTAGCGACATGAAAGCTGCTGCACTCGCCGTGGACGACCCGAGCGAGCGAACGAACAAGCGACTGGCTGGGCACCGCATCCATCCTGCAGCAAGTGCACATCACATGGGCAGCCGCCAACAGATCACAAAGCACCTCTGCACACGCCGCACAGGAGACGCATTCGTGCGGCGGCCACGATGTCCAGGCCTCTCAAGTCGCTTCGCGGACGGCGGGGCGCCTGACGGTCTGCGGTTGCGTGAATTGAACAGGAGCACAGCCAGCCGGGGAAGCCGCCGAGCGACACCACCACGACATGCATGCAGAAGCCTGCATCTCTAGCGCGTGGTGAGACTGTCACTCACGTCGGGGGGCCAAGGGGTGGTGGCTTTCCTCCAGGGGATCGAGTGGTCTGGCAACTGACGGGTTCCTGGAAATGTGGAATCGCTTGGAGGCGCTCCCCTTGTCGATCAGCCTGGGAATTGTTTTTGCCCAAGGGTAATTGTGCCGCAACGACCGCGAAAACAGGAGATGGTGTCCTACGGAGCACAACATATTGCATTCAGTTCGCCGGGTATGGAGCATTTAACCGTGGGCTTTGCTTGCCGTCGTACGAGCACGGCCGGCTGTGCGCGGTCGACGTCTTGGCTCTACAACGCAGGCAGTTTTCCTGAGATTTGGATCGGCCAGCAGGTCCGACTATCGATCCCAGACCCGAGGCATAGCGTCGTACTCAAAGATCCTGCCAGGTAATTGCCGCCATCGGCACTTTGTGGGAAAGCTGCCAAAGGGTGAGCAAAGGGGGGTCATGCCCTTGCCTTCATTAGCCAGAGTTGCATCGTCAAATACCCCGTAGTCCTTGGCTCAACGGAAAGCACATCGAGGGGACCAGCAGTTGCGTGCACAACGGAAGCGGCGTCGACCAGCGGGCGGTTCGACGCTGGGCTTGTGCTGAAGCTGAAGCTGTACAGCATGAGCAATGCATCACTGGGGAAAGGGACGTGGGAGTCCAACGTGGCGACTACTCTTATTCGGCCAGAGAAACGACACTTGACCCTGGCAACCTGGCCATCGAGTTGCGACGGAGGGCTGGGGCTCGTGGCAACAGGGGTTGGTAGGCCGGAGCGTGGTTTTCCGTCTTGACCAGAGTCTGGCGGGTGGGATTGAGTGGTTCCAGGCGCAAGCAAAGAGGGGGGGCTTGAGGCTTGTCAGGGACACCCGGCGTCCGGAAGGGTACCGGCGAACCAGTGTCGGGGAGTCGACCGTCATTGGCATGGTCGGTCCGGCGGTGAGGAGCTCCAGCTTGGCGAGCTTGGCCCCGTTTTGAGGAGCAGAGCGAAATTGTCTGGCGCGTGCCTCGTCTGGAGATGTAAGTGCCGTCGGCGGCACCCTCGTCCCCATAACGGGCGCTACGCGGACAGAGTCGACGAGCTGGCACTCGCATCGCACGATTGGACGAGGCAACCCGGGGCCATGTCGAAGATTGGCGGTCGCATTGCCCGCGTCGGAATAGGGGAAGTAATAAACGTACCCAGCACGACGCTTGAAACCGAGGCTACCTTGCTTGTGGCGGCGCCCGGAGTGCTTCGCCTGCACGCAGCGATGAGCGGCCGAGGAAACAATGTTGTCGTCGCTGATCATGCATGGCGTCGACAGCCGTCCCGCGAGCTGCACGGACGGGCGGTGCAGAGGCGGGGCGAGGAAGACATGAGACGCACCACATCGCGTCGCACCGCACCGTGTTCACGGCGGACGCTGGGTGCAGCCCTGTTGGCAGCGTGGCGCGCGACGAGGCATGCGCTGTAAGATGCGGGCATGCAGGCGATCGTGTGGCCGTTTGGCACAAGGCGCGCGCCGTTCCTGTCAACGTCGAGGGTCAGTGCGGCGGCGACGGCAGCATGGCAGGGCAAGGCGGGGATGGCACGGCAGGGGACTGGCCGCTCGGAGCAGCGACCCAACGGCCTGGACGCGGGTTGGCAGACGCCGCTGTCGTGGTTTGTGGTGGCGTCGTGGCTGCCCGTGCGTTGGCTGGCGTTTCATCCATCCTGGCGGGTGGTGTGCGGGACAATGCTCTAGGCATGGAGGGCTATAATTATCAAGGTTCCGCCCCCGGCTCTAGTGGTATTCACAGTCGGGCAGGCTGTCAGGCGGGCGGTGGCGGCAGGCGGACATGGAGGTTGAACGAGTTGGACCGCCATCGAGACCGGAGTGTTTGTGTTTGTGTTGGTGCGACGTCGTCCGTACAGGTACTTCGTTCGTACAAGGGGCTTGAACTCGACATCTCGACGGCCGCATCGCCATCGTATCCGGTCGTGCGGTTAATTGAATCTTGACCAGGTCAGGGGGCCCGCGCATGAAAGAGAAGGTTGCAATTTGCTGGCAAAGGCAGATTCCATGGAAGAAGCATTGCGGGCCCCGTTCGCGATGGGGCCCGAGGGTGGGCAAAGAGGTCGTCCGTCGGCGTTTGTGTGGCTTCTTCGGGCCCTGCGGGCACCTTCCATGCAACAACGTGTAACCTGTAACCTGCCTGTGCCGCTGACGACTCAGGTGGGCGGGCAGCAGAGGGCGGGATGGAACCCGACGCTCCTTCCATCACAGGACAGCACGAGCACGGCCCAGTGACGTCCATCGGTGCTGCACCAATTCGTCAGGTAGGTAAGGAAGGTCCAGGGCAGCACGGTGTCTACCTAGTACCTCACGTAGGGACCTCGTACGAGCACAAGCAGATACGAGTACGGACTGCCCTCACCTGCGTGCACGGCAGATCTGGCCGGCCACCTCTTTCCCCTCGTCTGGCACACTTATCCTTCCACAGTGACGGGATCTTGGTTGGAACTTGGGAGACAGCCCAGGGCCGTCCGCCCGGACCGGACCTTTTAGGCGGACCCCCACTGCGGATGCCTGCCGCGCCGGGCCCAATTGCCCTCTAGGTGGTGAGGTGAGGTGAGAGGTGAGGTGAGGTGGTGCTGGTGCCATGTCCCGTCGTCCATTTGCCTGAAGAGCCAGTCCCCATGTCACCGCGGCCACCGCTGCAGATGGGTTGTTTCAACTGTGAACTGCAGGGCATGATCGGCCGACCGAGGTTGCGCATGCGACGCCCGAGCGAAAGCCGCATCCTTCCCTGCAGCATCAGGTGTTTGTCGTGCCGTCGGTCGTGTCTGCCCGAGCCGCTTGTTCGGTGCTGTGGTGTAGGTACCTTGCCTGCTCCGTCCTGGCGTTGTGACTCCCGTCCGGAGGCATCCATACCGTAATACGGTACTAAGGCAGGTACCTAGGTGCCCAGTGGATGCCCACATGCCTGCCCATCCACACCACTGAAAGCCCCGAGGTGAAGCTTCATGCGCTGTGGCTCCCGTCAAAGGAGCACCCCAAAGTCGGGCTCCGATCCACTAAACGGCAGCTCCCAGCTCCTGGCGCTTGCCCGACTGAGCTCTCAGGGCTGCCGGCTAAGCCGCCACCGGAATCGCCTCGGGAGTGCGCTCCATTCCGGTCCTGCGTCCAGGCCGCTTGGAACGGTTCGCTTCCATCGCTTCGCTGCCGCGAGGGTGCCACTAATACCACCACCACCACCGACGGCGGCGGCGGCGGCGGCGGCGGCTCCTTGTCCGTTTTGGCAGCTGACACTCACTTCAGACTTTCCACAAGCTCCTGCGGCGGGCGAGATACAGACGTTCGGTTCCAGTCAAAGTACCGCCACCTTCAATTGGGTTTCCGGAACGAGCACAATGCACATGGTCCGCTATTCACGTTTCGCTGTGCCGCCGTTCCATGAAACCTTGTGCTTCAGCTTCGGCTTCGGCGTCCCGGTGTCAATTGGCAAGCCGCACTTTTCCATCCACTGCTGCTGCCAGAAGCACCACCACACACCACCACCACCTCCTACTCCTCCTCCGGCTCCTCCACTACCACGGCTCTTCCATCCCATCCCCATCCCCCTTCCACTTTCGCAACCGCATCCAGGCGTCCCGTCCCATTCATCCCCCCCTCCTTCCACCTCTTCCAATCCATCTGACCCCTGTCGCCTCCGCCCGCTGCCCACCCCGAGCCCTTGCCCGCTGCGCCAAACGCACCTGCTGCCACCCATGCTAGAGCTGCAGTGGCGGGCCCACGATAACCAAGGGTGTTGACGCCTTAGCCGGCGACAGGCGGCACCGAACAAAAAAGAATCAGTCATAAAGCCGTCGACGGACCCTCTATTCCCACGTTTCGCCCCGGCTCCTGGTTCCGTTCCGTGGTGGAAATGCTTTCTTTTGCTGCCCTCCGGCCCGTTGCCCCTCGTCGCGTGGCCGCCTCCTGTTGAAGAAGAGGCGAGGCTTTGCACCGCTTCTGCGCCTCGACCTTCGAATCGAAACTCTGCCGGCCCTCGACCCGCACTTCTCCTCCACACTGGTTACGTCGTGTCGACCCGGCTCATCCGCTGCGACGTGTCTTGTCCATCGCCGCCCATTGTACGACGAGGGCAAAGCCGTGCAAGGCGACAGCGATTTGACTGACGACGACACCCGTCCAAGAGTGACGGGCCGCGGCCTCTCAATCGCCAGATCGAGAGCCTCGTTGACACAGGCGCGACTGTCGGCCGCAACATTGGCCCCCGATCGTCCGGCAGCCGTGTGATTTGTCCGTCATCTGCCCGGTCATCCGTCAAACTCATCCGTCACATTGATGCCCATCTCCCGTCTCGATCCCGCGCGACCGCACCCGCCTGAGCCAGGCAGAGCCGAGACCCGAATGACCATGTGCTTCGGAGGTCGCGACAGAACCAACAGCGGCGCTGCCCGCTCCCACGACATTGACCGCACCCTCCGCCAGGATGAGAAGCGCCTGTCCAAGGAAATCAAGCTGCTGCTCCTAGGTAAGTTCTGCATTTGTGCGAGGAAGTCGTCGCCGCTTATCGCACGCCCGTTGCATGCGCGCACGCGGCAGCCGTTCGTCAGCTGCGCCGTGGTTGTCCACGAGGGCGCTGCTGTGTCACCACGAGCCGCGGCATTTGACAGGGTTTACTGACTCGTCGTGTATCTGACAGGAGCCGGAGAGTCGGGCAAATCGACGATCCTCAAGCAGATGAAGCTCATATACTCACAGGGCTTCACCAAGCGCGAGCGACAAGAATGGAAGCCCGTCATCTTCAGCAACATTGTACAGTCCTTCCGCACCATCCAAGAAGCCATGACTGAGCTCAATTACCGCTTCGACGACGCCGACAACGAGGTAAGCCGCCCGCGGTTTGCTGCCCCCGCCACGGCGCCGCCATTGACACCACCTTTCCCCGCTGCGCTGCGCCGGGGCTGCGTTGGCGCCTGGTGCGGCAATGTGAGACATGCAGGGTCCCAGAGCTGACCTGGGTCGTGCAGAAATACATGGCCCATATCCTGGTAGAACGCGAGATTGGGCTCGAGGAAACGTTGCCGCACGACTACTTTGAGCCGATCAAGGCGCTATGGAACGACAGCGGTGTCAAGGCGGCCATCGCCAAGGGCAACGAGTATGCGCTGCACGACAACCTGACCTAGTAAGTCTCCGGCCTCGGCAGTCTGCCGTGCGTCGATCCTTGCTGACCATCTGCAGCTTCATCGAGGACATGGAGCGCATATGGGCCGACGGATACGTCCCGAACAACCAAGACCTTCTCCGCTGCCGGTTGCGGACAACGGGTATCATGGAGAGCAGATTTGACTTGGGCCAACTCACGTATCGCATGTTCGACGTGGGCGGCCAAAGATCGGAGAGAAAGAAGTGGATTCACTGCTTCGAGAACGTCCACTGCCTGCTCTTCCTCGTTGCCATCAGTGGCTACGACCAGTGCCTCGTGGAGGACAAGGACGGGGTATGTGACGCTCCTCAACACGCCCGACACCCCACACCCGGGGCCATGCCGCACCGAGCGAGGCTGACTTGAAATGTGACTGCAGAACCAAATGAACGAGGCGCTGATGCTGTGGGAGTCGATTGCCAACTCTCACTGGTTCACAAAATCGGCCATGATCCTGTTCCTCAACAAGATGGACCTGTTTAGGGAGAAGCTGCCGCATAGCCCCATCACCAAGTACGGCTTCACCGATTACCACGGACCGGAAGACGACTACAAGTCGGCCAGCAAGTACTTTCTGGACAAGTTTAAGGCGTTGAGCCGCAACCCGGAAAAGGAAATCTACGGCCACTTCACCAATGCGACGGACACCAACCTGCTCAAGATCACAATGGGCTCTGTGCAGGACATGATCATCCAGCGCAACCTCAAGCAACTCATCCTGTGAGGACCACGATAATGTTCGGACCCGTTGCTGGCATGTCAACCCGCTCACTGGCTCTGCACACCAGGGACGGATAAACGGCCGTTCCCACGGCCTTCGACAAGGTAGTCTCGCCACGCCGCCCGACTTCTGTCGCCCAGGTCTGTCTCGGCAGGGGCCGAACAAGGATGCCGGCGAGACGGGAGCGGACCGCCGCAGCGACTTGCAAGGTTGTCGACTCACAATCGGAGCGCATTGCAAATACGACAGCCAGCCATGGGTAGATTGTACGAATACATGGACGACGGCCGGCAATCACTTTGCCCTGATTTTTCCCTATATTTTTTTTTGGTTTCATGACAAAAGTGCCAAAGGGCGCATAAAGGCTGGGCTGCGTTGCGCTCCCAACAGCGTCTGCCATGGGCCATTAGGGAGCGCACCCGGAGGTCCTGCCGCGGGAGCGCTACGGGTCATCCGACACAGCAACGTCGGGATGCTCTCCGACATCAGAGCACCAAGGGGCAAGCAACGGCCCTGGGAGGAGGCAGCCACAGGGAGGTGGCGACGCACCGCAGCACTTTCACGGCCTGGTATGGACCACTACGATAGGTCGGTCGGCGGGAACGTTGCGGCGAGAATACGCGAGACAAGAGCGATCAAAGGCGAGATATAGGTGGCAATTGACATGATTGTACGCATGAACAACTAGTTCGAGATGAGCTGAGACGCCGCCCAACGAAGAAAAACGTATGTGGCCATTGCTCGGCGCGTCCATGTGAAAGGCGAGTAGCAGGTAGGTCGGCCAGTCACGTTGGGCTCTGGAGGCGATGCTCCCAACCCAATGTCTCGGTCCAAGCCGGAACCCAGTCGGCGCACGGGCGCGCGCGTTGTGGAAAAGTCACGCCCGGCTGGTTCGTATGCATGCGTGTATGCGTGTATGCGCGTATGCGCGATGGATGTCCCGCCACGGAGCGGGTGTAACGACGAGAGAGGCTGCTTGGCCAGGCACTTGGCCAGGAGCTGACGACCAGCTGCGACAGCGACGGCTCGCGAGATTGGACTGGGGCCCGGGGCGGGCAAGACGTCCCTGCGACCAGCATGTATGCCGTAGCACGCAGGGCACTTAGGTTGGTAATTTAGTTACCTAGCCAGTTAGTTCGCCAGCGCAACGGTTGCCCCAGAACGGTTGCGGACAAAAACGGCGCTGGCAGCCTCTTTTTGTTGTTTGTTTTCAGGCCCGGCGACGTCATTGGTCGGTGGGGCCGCTGGTTAGTTCAGTTGGCTCTTCAGCGTGGTGAGGAGCCCGCCTAGGTACCTAATAGCGGGGAGGGGCGGGCGGGCAGATCGGGGGGGTTTGCAAAGTATCAGTGACTTGCCCAACCAACGACTCGCAAGGCCATAATTATCATTGCCACCTTATTTGTGTGTCCCTCAGCTGAGCACGGGGCTTGAAATGGGAAACATAGTGAAGGGGTATCTCGATTGACTCGCGGTGAAGGAGGAGGTGAATGGTGAATGTGTGTTGAAGTTATACACTACGGACAGTATTTAAAGCCGCCTGTGTGACGGAATCGGTACAGTCAATTCGATTCGATTCATGCATGGCTGCCGTAGTACAAGGACGGGGGGATGGCCCCTCCCCCACACGCCCAGGGCACCTACCTAGGCGCAGCAATCCATCGCTTGGCTCTTGGCGCGGGGAGGGTCTGTTCGCCCGTTGACGACGGGCCGAATGACAGCAGGCGCGCGCGCGGCGGCGGCGGCGCACATTGAGCGTAGGGCATCGACGGGAGCTGCGCCGATGACACTGTACTACGGTCCATACGTACTGTACTGTGAAGGTAAGTGGATAGGTAGGCAAGTAGCGCGATGTAAGGGATGTTTTGATGGTACGCTGTTTCTCGTCTGTTGTCTTGCGGGCAGGGAAACTGTAGTACGTTGCTGCAATCGGGCACGATGAGGAGGAGCTGTACTCGGTACATACCTCGCCCGCCCGTTGGCCGCCTCCCCTTTCGCGCGACAGCTGGTCCCGGCTCCGATTTCTCCAGCAAAAAGGTTCGGTCAGATGCAGTACAGTACCTCAAGTAGGCTACGTAATGGGAGAGGAGGTCGCCGCTGTGTGCAGCCATTGCCGTGCGTACGTACTCGGTACTGTGTACAGTATTCGTCGCACTTCCGGGTCTGCAGATCGATCCATCAAAACACAATCACACATTGGGTTGGGCATCCCAAAGAGGGGAAGGCACCACCGTCGTGACCCTGTCGTGCCTGCCTGCCTGCCTTGCCTTGCGTCTGCATCTGCGTCGTGTTCGGCCTTCTCCTCCCTTTTTGCCCCGGGCGACGCCTCTCCCGTCTTTTATTGGTTTTATTAGCCATGACAGGCACGTCCGCGTCTGCGTCCTCGTCTGCGTCTGCGTCCCTGTCCCCGTCCCCGTCCCCGTCCTGAGCCTGCGCACACTCGCTCCGTCGTGGCTCCTCGTTGCTTCTCGCGGCCGCCGCTCGCTCCTTCAACCGGCGCGGCACAGATAGCTCAGCTCGATCTCGACTGTGCTCTCCGCGCCCTCACCCACGATGCCTTCGTCGCCGCGAGCTCTTCTCTGCGCTGCCGCCGTCGCGGGCCTTGCCCTGTGGCAGGGTGCCGAGGCGCAAAGCGGAGGCGGCAATGTCATCAAGAACGACACTCATTTCTACGGCCAGTCGCCGCCCGTGTACCCATCCCGTGAGCCTCACTCCCACGAGTTGTCACACACTGCCGGCATCGTTGTGGGCGCTGACCAGTCTTCTCTGCTCTCACAGCTGAGATTGTCGGAGCGGAATGGGCGGACGCATATACCAAGGCGAAAGCGCTGGTTGCGCAGATGACGCTTGAGGAAAAGGTACCGTGACGTCGTCCTATTCTCGCCTCATACTTCATGTTCCGAGCCTCAATTGACACGCTCCTGCGCTCAGGTCAACCTAACGGGCGGCATTGACCTCGGCACAGGGTGCTCCGGCACCATTAGTCCCATAGAACGCCTCAACTTCACCGGCATGTGCCTCAGCGACGCTGGCAATGGTCTGCGTAATACCGACCTCGTCAACTCATATCCCAGCGGCATCCACGTCGGCGCAAGGTGCGTGCTGTCTGCATCACTCCTTTCATCATCGTCGCCTTCTCATTCTGCTTCTGACACGCTCGCAGCTGGAACAAGGAGCTTGCGTTCCTGCGCGGCTCGTCCATGGGCGGCGAGTTCAAGAGAAAAGGAGTCAATGTTCTTCTTGGTCCCGTCGTGGGGCCCGCGTGGCGCGTTGTCCGTGGCGGCAGGAACTGGGAGGGCTTCTCGGTCGACCCTTACCTCTCTGGCTCACTGGTATATAAGAGTGTCTTGGGCATTCAGGAGCAGGGCGTCCAGACCAGCGTCAAGGTCCGCACCCGCTCAACATCCACACTCACAATGCCTCGCGGGCTGACAGCCGGCCACAGCATTATATCGCCAACGAACAGGAAACCTACCGCATGCCATCCGGTGGCGACAAGGAGGCCGTATCCTCCAACATTGATGACAAGACTATGCATGAAGTCTATCTTTGGTGCGCCATTGACTCATGCCCCTTGCACATGCGGCAGGTATTGACCAGTGACATCAATATCTAGGCCCTTTCAAGACGCCGTCAAAGCTGGCACGGGCAACATCATGTGCTCCTATCAACGTGTAAACAACTCGTATGGATGTGCCAACAGCAAGACTCTTAACGGCCTGCTCAAGACCGAGCTTGGCTTCCAGGTAAGGACCCCGCATGGGAGCCTGGTTAATCGCTGCTAACGTTTGTTTAGGGCTTCGTCGTTTCCGATTGGGGTGCCCAACATGCCGGCGTTGCCGCCGCTCTGGCGGGCATGGATATGGCGATGCCCAGCGGCAGCGAATTCTGGGGGAAACATCTCGTAGAAGCAGTCAAGAATGGTTCTGTGCCCGAGTCTCGCGTCACCGACATGGCGACCAGGTAATCCTCCTCGGAAATCAATCATAAACTCGATCGTGGCCTGAACAAAGCTGATAAGCCTGATCTAGAATCGTCACCACATGGTATCAGTTCAAACAGGACACTCTCTTCCCCGAACCTGGCGTTGGCATGCCCAAGGACGTGACTGGGCCTCACAAATTCGTCGAGGGACGCGACCCTAGTGCTCGTCCTGTTCTGTTCCAAGGCGCCGTCGAGGGCCACGTTCTCGTCAAGAACACGAAAAACACCTTGCCTCTCAAGTCCCCTCGCATGCTGTCCTTGTTTGGGTACTCGGCAAAGTCCCCCGATCTGTTCGCTCCTGTCGCCGGCGCACTCAACTCCCAAATCTGGGTGAGCGGCGCGGAGTCCATCGACGTCAACGAATTCATCTCCAACATCATCAGCTTTTCACCCAACGCGAGCCATTCGAGTATCGGTCGTAATGGCACCCTCATTCATGGCTGCGGCTCCGGCGCAACGACCCCGGCTGTCTTCACTGCGCCGTTTGAGTCGCTCAAAATTAGAGCAGCCCGCGACGACACGCCCTTGTTCCACGACTTCGTCTCCGCCGAGCCGATAGTCGACCCCCTGACCGATACGTGCATCGTATTCGGTAATGCCTTTGCTTGCGAGGGCTTTGACCGCCCTGGCGTTTACGACAACTATACCGACACCCTCATCAAGACCGTTGCGGGCCAATGCAGCAAGACGGTCGTGGTCTTTCACAACGCCGGAATTCGAATTGTCGAAAACTTTGTTGACCATCCCAATGTTACGGCCATCATATTCGCTCATCTGCCTGGGCGCGATAGCGGCGAAGCGCTGGTATCTCTCCTATATGGCGACTTGAGCCCGTCTGGCAAGCTGCCTTATACAGTGGCCAAGAACGACACCGACTACGGCCATGTCCTCAATCCGGACTCGTCTGAAGGCGAGTTTGAGAATTTCCCTCAGTCCAACTTTTCTGAGGGAGTCTACCTCGACTATAAGCACTTTGACAAAGAGGGCATTGAGCCGCGCTACGAATTCGGTTTCGGATTAAGTTACACGACTTTCAACATATCCAACATCAAGGTCAACCCACTGCAGGGAGTCAACACGGCCGAGTACCCTGCAGGTGCCGTTGTGGCAGGTGGGCAGTCAGACCTCTGGGACGTGCTCGTCATCGTCAACGTCGACATACAGAACACGGGCAAGGTTGTGGGCGCGGAGGTTGCGCAGCTCTACGTCGCCATTCCCAATGGGCCCGCGAAGCAGCTACGCGGCTTCGAGAAGAGGGCCTTGCAGCCGGGCGAGGTGTCGACAGTCGAGTTTAAGTTGACGAGGCGCGACCTGAGCGTTTGGAACACGGCAGCACAGAAGTGGCAGCTGCAGCGAGGAGACTACCGAGTGCTCGTCGGGAACAGCAGCAAGAACCTACCTCTCCGCGGCGACATCAACTACTAGAGAACATACCACGATCACGACGATACATTTACTCATAATTTTCACTGTACCTAATGATAATGAAGAATACACCAATTGCAACGGCCGTTGAGGCTCGTCGAACTGCACAACAGCTGTGCCAACTTGTTGAGCTGTTGGCAAGCTGCCCGCTCCATTGTTTTACTCCCAACCTTGGCACGTCACGTCACGTCTCGCGCCAATACCTGTTGGAAGCACATCGCCATTGGGACCTTCCTCCATGACCTTCCTCCGTGCTCCTCTCTGTTGGTCCCTACCGTGGATGGTTAGCGAAAGGGCGCCGCGTTGGACGTTGTGGCCCAGTTGGCGCCCAACAATCATGCCTCTGAATGGCAACGCGCTACCAACGCGGAGCGCAGCTGTGGTTGCTGATTCAGAGCCAAGAGACATGTCTATTTAAGGTTTCCCTCCGAATGAAGCTCTTATCCTCGTGCCCCGGGAACAGCACAGCCTGGCATGCAGGACGCAATGGCCCTCTTGCGTTCCGACCTTTTTACCTCTCCCAACATGTCCTTGAGCTGGCACCCGCCAACTACCCTAGACCCTTGGGTGCACTGGCCGACACCCGAGCAAACTGGCAACCTCCCGACAGCCCTCGCCATCGGGGAACCCAGCCGGCACGAGATATCGCGCGGGCTGAGGGTCGAGGTGAGTGATCGCATTTGTCCCCCAGCAGCCTCCCGATGCCCTGTCCCCAACGCAAACGACGAGGGGCCCTCTCACCCGCGGGTCTACCGGTCTGTCTCAGCCGGGACCATGGGGGCGAGGCTGCCGGGCGCGTGTGTATTACCTGACATGCCGCAGAGTGCGCGAGACTGTGGGGATTCAGTCAGGCCCCGGTTCTCGGCCAGCCTCACATCTGTGAATGAAAGAATGTGCGGGCCCCGCGGTTGTGCATACAAGGGGTCCCGACTGCCTGGACCGCTCGTGCAAGACCATGTTGTCGTGAGGCTGCAGCAGAATCACGTCCCGACTTCGCTTTGAAGAGCAGATCACACTTTCCCAGCGGCAGCTAATCGCTCATGTCTCGCGTCGAGAGTGAGATTGACGTGGGTACGGCATCGGCGGGGACAATATACTGCTCTTAACCGATCTCGATTGGCGACTCAGCCCTGGCACCGTATGGGTTTTTCAAAGTCTTCTATGGGCGCAACCAGACCTAGGCAGGGCAACCAGGATGGTTCTCGGACTGAATATCCTCAACCCTAACAATAAGAATTTGGGGGGGAACTGGCGGCCAAAGCGGTGTCGGCAACAGGGGCCATGTCTCGGATCGTCGACGAACCATGTCTGCCGCGGCGCCTGGGAACCAGTTCCGGACCCTGTATGTACTTACCTTCGTGGTAATATGGGACAAATCTCCACCACATGACATGTAACAAAGACAGTCCTTTTGTGTTGCCCGTTAGCCAACAGCTCAGCCGTACGGATGATCATGAAACAGCCATGGCTTGCCACGAGTCCTGGCCTTCCAGCTCTGTCCTTTTTCCGAACCGCCGCAATAGGTTTGTCTCAGCCATGCCGACAGTCATCGCCTACCCAGACGGCCGGGCCCGGGGGCGTAGCAGTCTTTCAGTAGCAATATTTTGTACGAAGTATTTCGCCTTCGTACTTCGTGCTGATCCTGACGTCCAGCGTGCTTGGCACATTTCATAGCTGTCCGGCCGGTTGTCGCATTAGGTTCGATGTTGGTTGTAATGATGCCTTCGCCAGAACGGCAGAAAGGCAGCAGCACTCTCTGTCTCCTAGTCCAGATGCTCTTGGAAGCGAGGTTGCCCGTAGGAGGCTCAGTCGACCCTTGGCGGAGAGGCGGCAGACTGTTTATGCTCGAACGAAACGCCAGGCCTCTTGTACTGTCGAGAGGGGAGCTGCAAAGCCGTAACTACTCTCGGTCACGGGTGATTAGATGCGGGAGTCGGCTCGCTACATCGAATTCGATTTAAAGTACCAGCGTGCCGCACCAACTTCGGGACTACGGCTCCATCATCACCATCTTCGTATGATACCGAGCCTGTTACGATGCGGCAGAAGGTTGAATCCACCGGGGTATGAGGATCTAGGTGACCGTCGAATAACACTATCTGAGCCGGGTGTCAACGGTCAGGGAAAAGGTAAGCGCCACGGCTTGTCTCAACTCCTGATCGTTGGACCTGGCAACGCTGGCTTCGAGAAGTCGGTTGACAAACAGGCTGTCTGATGAGCAGGCCTGGAAAAGCTGTCTGTCCATTGTAGCCGCGTATCGAGCGATGTGTAACTCATTCTGCTGGAGCGGAGGCTGCTAAACGCCGCTGGGGATCAGCATCGGCATACACGGATGAGGACGACCATGGTCTCGATCTTCTTCCGGTTCCCGGGCCACCGATTGGCAGGACCAGATCACCTGGCACGAAAGGCATAGGCCAAGGTAGGCCGATGACGGTACTGAAGCTGGTCGGGGTGGCAGGAGGGCGGGCAGCCAACTACTAGTGTGAGGTTGGGGATCTTGATCCACCCTCGCTATCCTAGAAGCGGTGCCAGTGCGACGCGCGAAGTAACCCAACGTCGCCCAAGGCCACGGCGAATCGAAACCATGGTGATGCCGTGCCCGTCGATATATGTTGCCGGCCGGCAACCGGGCGTTAAAGGACAAAAATGTGAAACATTGCAGATTATCCAGCCTGAGGGCGTGAAGAGTGGACCCAGCAACCGTGCTTTGCACGAAAGCACTCCGTGCAACCATGTACTCGTACGGTCGTGTTGACGATGAATTAGGATCCAAAGGCCAACCAAGCGTGGTACGAAAGCGAGTCACCCCTGCAGGACACCATCGGGTAAGCTGGCTGGCTTGCGCCAGCGGAGCATCGTCAGTTGAAATCGCGCATTGTCGTCCATCACATTGAACTGTTCGTTCGCATGAGCGATTGCTGCCTCGAGGGGAGCTTTCTGCGGGGCGCCTGATGGGCGGGTGCATCGGTGCAGTGCACAGGAGGACTGGTAGAGTGCCGGTTGACGCATATGCTTGTGGCATAGCTGGCATTGTTGTGCATCGACGCCATCGAAGAAAGCTGCTCTCCGTCTTGATGCCCTTTCCGGGCGGTCTCCGAAGAGTCGGAATTCCCCACACCAGTGGCACCATGGATCATGCCTGGAAATTTCTGGGACTTCTAGTTGGGCTTGGTGGAACCACCACGCCAACGGCTAAATGAGCGTAGTGTCAGGCATCGTGGGCGACGGGGCTGGTGGCTGTTTCAATGACACAAAGGTTACCACGTCTCTGTTCTTGAGAGTGGCCGAGCAGATGCTCACAGAAGTTGCATTCGTGCAAGAGCCGCCCTGTGCACGCTCCGCCGGCGACGAGACTGTTCACCGGCGTGACATGGTCGAGGATGACTGAAACAGCACGCTAGCGTCGCAAGCAGGCGCAATCTGGCTGGAGACGAAGGAGCGTGAGGAAGGCTTTGATGCGTGAGCTACGCGTGATGATTGCTGACCCAGCGACGACGTGGTACGTTGCCGGCTCTGGTTCAGCAGGCAGTTATTGCTTCGCGTGACGTACACAGCTAAAGGGGAAAAAAACAAGCTTCCGCTCTCGAGGCTCGCTTGACACAGGGGGCCATAGAGAAATGTTGTGCGGAGTGACTCCGGCCGGCCGGGCATGGCGCATGGCAAGGCGCACGAGCCCGCGTCCTTCGTCAGGTGCAGTACTGTATCGAGGATCTCATGCAATAACTCGTACGTACTCCGTACTTGGCACGGAGCACAGTAGTTACCGCGTACATGACTCCGCTCGTCGTGAGGGCCTCGTGTACTCGTACTTGGTCGAGCGCTCCACGTTGTACTCGTACTCGAAGGTGGCAGCGTCGGCAAGGATGCGGTGGTGGTTGTAGCATAGGTACACTTCTCACTCTGGCAAGGCGCCAGACGCGGGCGCATCGGACAGGGTGTGGGGAACGGCTGGGTCGGTCAGAGATTGATCAACCGAGCTTGGTGGTCGTTAGCGTTGACTTCGAACTGCCATGTGCGGAGCATCATCTCAGGGCAGGGACCGGGCGTCCATTGTCGATCCACGGGAGAGACGCCTCGCCGCGGAAAAGGGGGCCGCCGCCCCATGCCCATGTCCATCAGTGAAAGAGGTCAGAGCCGGGCTGAGCTGCCACCGAGGGCGGGTCAGCGCTGGTTGGAGTCCGGGCGCGGGTTAGGGTGCGGGAAGGGGGCGAGACGACGTCTGGATGCAACCATTCGTGCCTTTCCGCCCCTTGATGGTTCCCGTCTCGTTTGTGTCGCGGTGCCGCGCTGCAGCAAGAGCCTCAGCCGTGGCGGCAGCTTCCCAGTAGTGAACAACCATCGAGGCCGCTGACCGAGGCATCGACAATCGGGCCTGCAGGACGCCAGGCGTGCAGGGTTGCGGGCCAGGGCGGCGTCGATTCTTGGTGGCTTGCTGGGAGGGTGAGACGGGGGTTTGCATTGTCCCGCGAGCATCCAAGAGGCAAAAGAGCAAGAAGTCGATGTACAGCAGAGGCGATTGCAGGCAGTCCGCCGTGACGCGGGCAGTGGGACAAGATCCACGGCAAAGCCTCGACCGCGGGGGCCGCTGCACGACGTCAGGTTCCGCCCGCTTGATCCTTGCTCGAGGTGGTGGTGCAGGGGGGGGAATGAGTAGGGTGAGGGCCGGAAGCGACGCAAATGTGTAGTCGTACATTGTACGAAGTCAGTACGGGGGAAGGAACCTTGGATCTTGTCCTCCTTGGCGGCATCATCAAATGGACTGATCAACTGGGCGACGGCAACCGGGAAGGTGGAACCGCCAGCCAAGGTACCTAGTAGCCATGAGAGCGACCTCCAGGACAGTATGCGGTGCAGAATGTACTCCGTACGAAGTACTGTACTTCATAGGAAGTACCGTATCAGTATTACTATGGTGGGAGTGCTCTTTCCTTCAGTACCTACCTACTTTACCAAGAACGTACTGTGTTTTGCTGCACCAGGACTGTTCTGCCACCCGCACGGCAGGCACGAACTTGGATGGGGCCAACTGGGAAGGCTGGATGGAAGGCAGGAGGAACCGGCTCCGGGTTGCAATTGCCCAAAGTGGACAGGCCGGGCGGTGATGACCAAACCAATTTGACCTCGGGAGCAGGCGCAGCGCGCCCCAAAACCGCTCCCACCCAAGCCCCAACCACCACGACGGCAGGCAGGAGGGAGCAATGTTGCCCGTCTGCTTGTGTCAGTACCTCCCGTCGTCATAGTACTGGTACCTTTGGTAGATGCGCAGGTTACTTCCCTAGTACCTACGACACCAAGTTGGCACCAAGATAGCGTCAGCCGTGCCTCTTTCTTCTCCCACTTGCTCTCTTCTCGTATAGGGTCGAGAATACTCCGAGAAGCTTGTGCATCCATACGAACGCACATCACGCCGCCGTGCCTTGTCGAATGGAACCCCCCACTAGCCGATCCACTGCGCTTAGATCGCCAACTCAACGACGGACACCACTCCATACATCGCAACTCGTCACATATCGCTTCGCCAGGCACCTCCCGGCGACCTCCCCCCAACGCCTCGCCCGCCCGAAGCAACGACGGTCCCGCGAACCGCAGCCGAACCGGGGCCGCTGTGACTGGGGATCGCGGCCAGTCTCATGGGCCGCCCCAGGGCAGGGCAGCCTCCAACCAGGGGATTGGGCGGGCCTCGCCGACGCATCCAAGCATCGCAAGCAAGTGAGTGACGGCAGTCGCTGGCTCGCAACGCTGTTGGCCCCGTTCCTCTGTTGTCTCCTTGAGCACCCCCTGGACTGACCAGACGCCTGTCTGCACATCAGCATGGGAGCCAAGCTTCCAACCAAGCCCGGCCCACGATGCCACGGATCAAGTCGAGTCACCTCGTGACAGCACAATCACATGGCGCCGTGCTGACGTGGTATGATGACATCCGCGCAAGAGGGAGTCCCGAGCGAGTCCAACACGACACCCAACCATAGCTGCCTTTGCCTTTGCCTTCGACGACACTC